ATAGAAAGAAAAAACATTCGTTAAAAAAAAAAAGTTGGGCCAGTTACGTCACTCGCCCCTATCGATCTCTCTCCAAAGATGCCTCGGAACGTTAATCACGCGGTTAATTGGACGAGTTGTTTTGGACCACTTTTGTTTTTTCTTACTACCCACTCCTTTCTAATGGAAAACCATTAGATTCGATGGAAAGGCCAGACTCAGATCTCTTACCTTTTTTTCTTTGCTCTCTCGAAAATACCCAAGTTGCCTCCCTTGGTCATAAGGGTTGGCCATCCGTACCCCGTACCCAGCCAGTTCTCTACTTGGAACGATATCGGAACGTGGCTTAAAGTAACAGTAGTGGGTCTTTGGATCGAAGGGTGGGATTCCGTGACTTGGGGGTTTCGCGTGACGACATTACGCCTTCGTTGCGGGGGAATGTCGGTGCTGCTGCTTTATTATCATTTATATAGAACGTGACACGCACGCACGTACCTACGACTCTTGGGGTGACACCTTTCGAATCAGCTTTTCGGCAGGGAATCAAGAGAAAGGATATATGCGTTCTCGGGCGAAGCATTAGCAATAATATTTTATTAAACTTTTTTCCTTTCACTTTAATTTATGACTTTTCTTTTATCAGTTCACCATTTTGGGTCAAGCTTTCTTTTAGCTACAAGGACGCTCGTCCTTTAGGAAATACGACTAAGGGAAACTCAACAGCCGATAAAACCCGATTATTTATATATACGTACACTGTGCACAGCGGTAAGCGGGAATATTCAATTTACCGCAAAGTCACCAGTTGGTATAAATGATTTCACGATAATCGTTCAACTATACAAAAAGTCTCGGCTCAGATATTCCTGGTCAGATTTATTTCCTTTTTCACTGGTTACGTTCGACGCCGTGTCCTCTGATATTGTTGCTACTGCTATTAGGAACGATTGCACACGTACCGGCAAATTCCGTCAATTATAAGTTATTATTGAGTTATAAACTTTACTGCGGTAGATTTAACACGCTTTTCATCCAATCGTTCTCTCGCCCAGCAGATACGGTTAGTCTCATAATTATTTGATTATTCGTTAAAAAATCAGACAACGAACTTGGTGAAGCAATAATTTTGAAGCTCACTGTACTTACCGTCTAGACCTTCCTTGCTAGAACATTTTCAAGTATATATTACAGATTGCGTAAGGTTAGGCTAGGTATGCTTAAAAAATTACATATCCACGCCCATTAACCTTAATTGCTAAAAAAAAACAATCCATCGTACAATAATACTCGTTTTATACTCCTAATGAATTATTTGTCGAGCAAAATAAAACTATCAATAAAACAATGTTTTAATTCATGGGATAAAATCTTTTTATAAACCCACGTTAAATGTGGCGCTACCATTTTAATTGGTTCGTATGTTCGCGTAAAGACTTTGAAAAACATAAAAATCCCACTCGACGAGAAACTCAAACTTAACACGCTTAACTCTCGTCGCCTTGCTTATCTTGAACCTAACCCAACCGTGACTCGTTGTAAAAAGCCTCTCGAAACTCTGAGAAGGTTGCACATGTTCTTTTTTCTAAATACAACCATCCAACTTATAACTTACGAGCCGTAGTTCTCTTTCCGTCCAGCTCGTGTAACTCGCTGCGTCATATCGCGTTTAATCGCGCTATAGTAATAGAGTAACGCGCTCTATACTATACCCTTGAGTAATAGTTACCAAGCAGCACAGCACTATAGACTTAAAGCATACAGCAGCATAATTCCCTAGCATACCAACTCGATGTCCCAATTCGATAATTCCTCGGCGGTGGCGTCGTTGAATATTAATGGCTCTCTCACACATTTAATTGTAGCCACAACGGACGTTTTTCGCGTGACGATAGGAGACAAACAAAGAAACAATAAAATAAGTATAAAATAAGAAAGGTAAAGAAACTATCCCATAAATTCCTTATGATGTCTCTGTAAGACGCATCTTGGTTACCAGCTGTTCGTATGAATACGTATCTAGGGATATTTCGTATATAAGCGCGTCCTATTCTGTCCGGACGTATATAAACATATATACAGCCTATACTTACCTACCTACCAACGAGCAGCCCCAACGTGTTCAACTTGATTATAAAATCGATAGAACCAACAGACGGACTTTGTATGCCTTTCCGAACCCCCTATCTGACACACCTCTTTACTATACCTACCATACGCACCCCCGAACGCTCCCATCTAACTAGCCGTCATCATTGGCACGGGGCACGTTTCTACGTACGTATATGGTAGTAACGTTAAACACAGTATAGGAACGACTAATCGTAAAATAGGCGAAGCTGCAAGCTAAAGTCTTATATTGGCTGATAGATCAAAAATCTAGTTGAATTTGAGATGTCCAGAGGGGTCGAGTGCGTCAGGAGGGCTGGAGATTTGGAATTGTTCGAAATTCTCTGAGGAGTTCTGTATGGGGCTGTATTTAATCGACAGGTCCGAAGGGTAGTGGGATCTTGTTGTATGGGGTAGATATCTATTGCACCCCTGTCGGAAGGACCCCCTAAGCCTTATAACATTGAGAAACATTACCCATCCCGGTTGGAATTGCAGAACTGGACGTCGAGGGTGTCGTAATGGATCTCCAGAATCCTCCCCTATGCTACGTGTAAAAATATATTGCTGCTTTCTTTCTGCCGTTGCATTTTTCATCCCCGTAACTTGAGTGCAAACTTTTATTTTATTTTTTTATATATACGGTATACCCTTGTGGTTGCTGTGGGGAGGTCGCGGAGAGACGTGTATATGTTTGGAGGGCGTTTTCCTATTTTCATTAGAAACTAATTTAACGTCATTGGTTATGGATTGGAACATAAATTGCTCGTACATGAGAGACATCGCCGACGGCTATTATTCTTTTTATTGTCTGCTTTCCTTTTCCTTCTCATCTTTTCTTCCATCACTTCATTCTCTGCCTCTTTTCGCAATTTCGACTTTAATCACGAGTTCAATAGGCCAACCTCTTTCCCTTTCGTACCTTGCTATGAATCGTGCGGTTCGAGCCTCGGTGTTTCTTATACGTGGAGAATTATGCATAGTCATCTTTTATATAGTATATGGGTCTCGGATACAGACACAATCTAATCACCGGGTATATTTTACTTCGAAATTGAGAATTCTTAAAGCGTTCCGATTTTAACCTCATTTTTTTTTTACGAACCCCTCACTTCATCTTCCAGGATAGTCCTTTGCCTGTCATTTCTGTGTTAAATTTTTCAAGCTTTCGACCGTGAATATGAGATTTACGTGCTTTGCGGAAAATGGATCTAGAATTCTTATTTTTCCTTAGAAATTGTAAAATAAGGTACGTCTGTGTAACGGGGCGTAAGAATGATCATCAAAGTTACTATTGTCAATTAATGAGAATATACTATAAACAGGAAGTGCATTATGGCTCGCTAGTGTACGAGTCGACATCCTGTTGCGTCTCATGTTCCTGGCAAATTTTGATTGATGTTCGTCACTAAGAAAAGTTTCGAAAGAGAAGCAGGATATGGGGAAAAAACGAGGAAATACGAATAGAAGATATTAAAAGAAAATCAAGGACATAATTTCGTTTTGGAAAAATCGTCAAAGGGTTTCACGAAAATTTTCTTATACTTGTGAATTTTCGGCTGGATATAAAAATGTCGAATAATTTTTCAGTCCTTCCACGTAAACGAGCACTTTTAACAGTTAAATCGTAAGTTATCGCGCTCGGTGGAGGGTGGCGGCTAAGCACCCCTATAAGAACTGCGGCATACGAACTAGTTAATTAAGACATGAGAAATCACAGAGGCCGTTTGGCTACGTGCCAAAGGTCAATTCCGTGCAGGAGAACATGTTCAGTCCAATTGGAAAGTCAATTAGCCGTCACACGTGACATCAAAATATCTCTACATAAGAGGTTCACTGTAAAACATGACAATAATTACTTTTACTGTTATCTACGTCCATCCTAACAGCATAATATTGTTCGGCCATAGTAGACCGACAATAACTCTTTTCAGGCACAGGACACAGAAAGGAGTTTTCTCATTTCAGACACCGTACTTCTCGGCCAGTGGATTGCACCACTATCAATCATACGTAATAGCACTATTCCTCGTTCAAGATTCTTTGGATAGTCAATGACAGTTGATAAAATGTAATATTTTATCAATATAAATAAAGGAGAATATTTTTTAATTTGGCACTACCGTATCATAACTTCTTAATAAGAACTAGATGAATATTTAAATCCCGGCAAATGCATTCTCATAATTTTTTATGAGTTTTCAAAAACGTTCTAAATCAACTTTTAATTTAGTGCTCCGCGTACACGTAGGCATATATAAAACCCGTATAGACGTTCAGCGCATTTCCCGAAACTCGACGAGATTATTTCGTGGCTGAAAGGCTCAGTCGAGTCGACGGATCGTGGTCATATTTATCCAGGATCAATTGTATTTTATTGCGACACACCAGAGTGACCTTCCCTCGAAGTTATCCTCGATTGCCAAGAAATTCCATGGGCGTGCACGGCCAAACTTTATCCCTTTCTTTTTTAGCTAGACTGATTTATCATGATCCCTATAGCATATACCTCAAAATATATATATATACCTTACATATAAATCGTATCTCGTGATTGATAAGACTCTACATCCCACGGTGTAAGGCATTTCATAAGTCTGGCGTGTGTCGAGAATTCCGATTTTTCTCTCCCCTTCTTGAACCCCCATCAATAACACTTTACCTCCCTTCGGCGAGAAGACAATTCGTGATAAGTGGTAGGATACTCATAACGGCACCCTACTCGTTAACCCTGTGCTCCGTCCATGCGCGTTTAGTAAAACCATACCGTATGCGTTTAAAATCCATTCCGAAAAAGCGAGAGCTTCGATCCACAGCCACTGAAACCCCTTTAACGGGTAATTAATCAGTGGCACGTCACACCCTCGTCGAGAATCAAGCAGCTCATTGAACTCGACTGTGATTTTACGTTACAGAGAGCGAGGTGAGGTCACCGCGATTTACCGGATCAGGATGGCTCGCGTTTCCGGCTCTGAGAGCGGCTTACAAGCACGTCCAGCTGGAGCTTGAATTCCGTCCCGAAGCCTGGGACGGAGTGCTGCTACTGGCTGGCGAACGGGATGATCTACAAGGTGACTTCATGGCCCTGATCCTCCACCACGGCTTCATTGAACTCAGGTAATTTCGTGAGAAAGTTATTGTACCAGCGGGTTCCTAGGGTCTCCGCAAGGAACATTGACCCCCTCGAAAGGTCACAGGTCACGACTGTAATTCTTCGAGAGTTATTTTCACCAACCCTCCAAGGATCTCTTGGATCGTTTTCCAGGATCGCTCTGGCTCCCTGGGTAGGTAGGTCGGTAGGTAGGATGGGTTAGGTACAGAGATAGGAGGCCAGGAACGTTTACCGACATCACCAGGAGTTGACGTGGATGTATGTAAAGTACGATGTAGGGGGTCGCTAACCTTGAGGGGTTTATTAATGAAGAACCCTGACTCACTTAAGCCAACCTTCTCTTCCTCTCCTCCAACGACCAACCGACTGCTCTAGACGTCTCCTCGTCAGCGACGCCTCTCAAAACGTTTCGTATTAACTTTGCCTCACCCTGAGGAATAACCCAACTTCGTCCCCTGACAACTTTTCCTACCTATTAATGTCACAATATCGCGAGGGCCTTGGCGCTTCCGATAACCATGCTCGCTTATTGGCAGCTATTGGAAACCTACGATACGCAATAGATGGATTCTATATACTGGATCGCGATTAGTAATCAATCGATATTGTGTATATTGGGTATATCGAATTTTATTGGTACATATAATAATATACTATTACGTGTGATAGATTTTAATGACTGGACGGTCGATTCGTGCAGAGATGCTTTTAAGAATGTAAATGGGGACGATATTCGGCTAACCGGTGGTATGCTACGTGGATAGGGAATAATTTCATTAATATAATTTTCAAAATATTTTACAATATACAGAGGAAAATTTTAATAGTACGAGCGGAATTTTCTAATGGGAAATTACCATTTATATTGGTATATTTTGATTATATACTTTGGTCACAGTATGTTAAGTCTCGTAAATTAAATCTCTCACTCTTTCTCTCTCTCTCCTTTGCTGTTTGCGTAACACTCGGAATACACGTGACTATGCTATCAGTGACATCGGTCGAATACGTTTAATTAAAATCGTCGAATCTGTTGCAAGTAATATATTCGACGAAGCGCAATTAAATTTTTTACTACAAAATCAAAGCTGTCGTCACTACATTTTCATAGCGATAATTGAAATTCCGTTATATTTACAATAATCGATACTCGATAAAAAGCAACACGACGCATCGAAACGATAAGAACTGCCATTGTAAATTCGAAAATTCCAAACAAATATTATTCGTTGCTTCGTGCCGGATATACGACGTGTAGTGTATGATTATTTCTCTCTCTCAAAAAAAAAAAAAAAAAAAAAAAAAAAAAAAAAAAAAAAAAAAAAAAAAAAAAAAAAAAAAAAAAAAAAAAAAAAAAAAGTGAAAATAAAATAAAGTAAATCTCATACCCAGACGAACTACCGGAAAAGGCAAACTGTCTGGCCGTAACGAAAGAAAGTTTCTCACGCGTCGAGTTTAACTTGCAAAAGTTTTTTCTGGAAAAGGGCAAAATTGCATCGTAGTTTAGCTTCAACTTTTCGCGTCTATATCCACGTACGTCTGCACATCTATATGCATAAGCGTATAGCATAGAAACGTCGCGGCGAACTGGTAGACCTCACACGTTATATATATATACACACATTATGTAAGCAGTAGAACCCTTGAATACCGCCATTGGCCATACCGACATTGCAGCCATAACAATTACCATCTTTAGCAACTGTTTCGCAAGAACTAGGTATATCCTCTAGAAACCCAGCTGCGGCCAAACTCCTCCAGACGAATAAGAGCCGAGTACTCCTATGAAGGAGGTTAGAAGAGCAGAGAACGAGAATGGAGGTGGGATCTTCGTACATGTCCCCCTGGCCAGTATCCAAGTCCCAATTTTATTTAACCACCTCAAATTCGCAGAACGTTATTCCCCTACGATTTTAAAGACCGTCCTCAACCTGGACGTACGTCCCAAAAAATGTACCGGGGAAACACGTGACCCACCCTCGCGAATCCCTGACAGCTAAGATATTTCGATATAATCTAAGAATATTTCCAACGTCGAGTATCCAAAAAAATATTATCAAAAAGTCTATATAAATGATCATTCGAGTAAAGTAATAGTCGTGTGATAAAAGACAAAAAAGTTATGACATGTCTTTCTTAACTTCTTGCCTTATAACGAAGAGTGATAGTGAAAGAAATTTCGAAAAATTTTCTTGATACCGCTTCGTCGAATTGCAAATTTAAAAAGTCCACCGTGACATGCCGTCGGAAAAATATTAAAGAAACGGGTTAACGTTATCACTTTTTTTTAAATCTGCATATGCACGGAGATGCAGAACTGTTCCCATGGTAGGAACATTAATTTCATTCATAAAAATTAAGCGAACTATCTTCAAGCGGTGCAACAGTCTTGAATAATCGTGTCTGATTGTTGTATATAAATTTATCGTTTTTAAGTTTCTCATATTGCACATCTGCTACGAGATAAGAGTGCCATTTGAAAACCCACAAGTGCCGACCCAGGCTGCTAATCTTTTCCTGGCGATCGCGTCCCATGCTGCTGCGGAAATTTCTTTTACGAGTCTGTATCTCCACTGTACAAATGAAAACTAGGGGTCGGACTATAAGGACAAATAAATGGTAGAAGGTCACTCGAGGACTACTTGCTACCCCGCAGTGGTATCTCTAATCACGGTTAACGATTCTATGAAACACGGACGGAAACAATAGACAGTTGTCATGGCGTTGGCCTGTTGCTATTATCATTATTATGTCGTTTCCACTGTCGTCTTTGAGGTTATTATTCTCTATGGTTCCGGTGCATTTCAGTAGAAGAGACACAGTTAAAAGAGCTGGACGAATTTCGTATAGCATAGTAATTACTATGGTTTTAATACAAACTGCTATCAGTCAAGGGACAGAATGTATAGATATAGAATATAATAAAAAAGTGACATGTATAGTATATAAATATATATTATCGGCTTAGTCAAAAATTACACAGATTTTATTTAAAGCAGAGGACGATTCTTTACAGAGGAATCCAACCAGAATTTTCGTTCACTTCATCCCGGCTCGGCTGCTTTACGTCTTTAAGGTTCCTCATTACGTAGCACTAATTACGCAAACGCCTACTTCTCGCAATGGTAATTATGCAACGTGCTAGGACCGACTGTAACCCATATTCATTTCGCGATTAATGAGACTCGGAGTGCTCCTGTCGCCGACATAGGCACGAAGCTTGTCACGATATATGCTCTGACGCTCGTTGACGCCGTTTTTTCCCACCCATGGGATTTTCTTTCTCTCGCTTTATTTTTCATTCGGTAAGTAAAGGGAAAAATTAAATAGAAAGAAAAAAAATTATAAGGAAGCGAACTGCTTCAAGGGGAACCGGCTGACGCGGGTAGCAATTTCCCAGGTTTATTCTTTAGCGACGCCTACTGTACGTACTGCCTGCAGCCCGGGCACCGATGCACCCAGGCATACCGTCAACGGAGTACAGAATCCATCAGGATGGCCTCGCAAATCATCGTTAACTGATTGCGATTCGAGAACATTCGATAGAAAAAGGTCAGCCTCGCTGAGATAACAACTTCGGAATACGAAATGGCCTGAAGGCGTTGTGTCGTTTCCTGGAAATCGAAGTGTCATCATCGTGACGCAACCTACGTTAACCCAACAGGGGGAAATAAAAAAGAGGCTGGAACCTTTTTTCTTCCGATTGTCTTTTATACCGTCTGCATATTTTGAACTGGAAACATTTTTTTCATTTCTTTACGTTCTTCGTCAGCCATGAGGGACGCGAATGAAATTTTCACAGTGACTATACCATGTGGGAACGAACATGCAAACGATGAATTGTAGCGAAATTTTCGTCTGATCGGTTCAGACCATATCTACTGAATGAAGAACAGCTTGCGCCAACAGCTTCTAGTAAAAATTTTTCTCCGGTGATATATTCACTAACGGAATAATTTTCGTTACAATCTTCTGCTTGAAATGGTAAATCTGAAGAGGCTTTGCTAAATAAATATATGCGTTTCCAAGATGGCAGTCGCCAAGGTTACTCACCAGTCTAGTAGTCATGACTATTTTACAAAGACTCCTGATGGTTCAACCAGTAGGAATCCACGGGCTACAAACGTACTTCGTACAAGACATCCTATGGACGTTCTATGGACATTGTGTACTATGGGAGATGGTTTTTCTATCCGCGTACCTGTCACCCTTGCCCAGGTATCATTTCCTACCTATTTCCATTCAAAAAGACGACAGCCAAGGATTCCATCGCGATATCTGTGACGCTTTGGAAATTGAATTCTGCCACAGGTAGTAGACTCGTGCCTGGACTCCCGGTAGGAATCGACATTCCCCATGAGGTAGTTCTTACGTACGGAAGACTTTTGCTGAAAAGTGTACTAGAAAAAGCAATTCAATACATATATACATATAGTACCAATAGAAATTGGTATATTTCCTTCTGATTCGTTGATCTATTCAGAATGTCTTGCGCATGACGAACAAAGGTCCTTTGCTGTACGCTGACTTTTTGCTGCTTACAGATTCGACTGTGGAAGTGGGGTTGGAATCGTAAGGAGTTCCGAGACGGTGAAGCTCAACGAGTGGAACACCCTAACTGTCTACAGGCATCGTTGGGACGCCTGGATTCAGCTTAACCAAGGGAAACGTGTACAGGGAAGGTCAAAGGTAATGTACACTTTCCCTATTGTTTTCCCTCGTGAATCCTCTGTTTATTTCTATGGATCTCTCTTTCTCTCTGGATTTATATATATTTACATATATCCACGTTGCCACCCCTGAACTACTAATTGGAATCGTCGTCAAGGCATTATACGTCTTTCGTATTCTACAAAAACGCACTGACCGAGTTTATTAGCGTCCATTAAATTCCCTTCGAGTCATTCAATTCCCAGTAGCTCAACCTCATAGCTTCAATGTAAAAAAAAGATATTGAACTTGCTGGGACGTTTTAGAGACGTGAGAACAACAGTAAATTTTAAAGGTCCCGGTGACGTCATCGGCCGCGTCTAGTGACTTACATAAGGTAGTGGTTGCACTTAAGGATGCTCGAACTTGGGTCACTTAAACTGTCACCCTGAGCCTTTTAATTTTCATCCCTTGTCTCACACCTGCGATTTGCATACCTAACCTATACTGAACTCTTTAGAGCCTAGAGAGGGAGTGTCTCGAGCCTCGAAGACTTGGGCTTCTTTAATGTCAACGACGTACTCTGCGTGTCACGTTGACTTTTACCTCCTTTTTTTTTAGATTGCCTTTCATTAGATTCTCTTACAGCCCTTAATGAGGTGTTTGCAACTCGGTACGAAGGTATAACATTATTACCAAAGGTCAATGTTTTATAGGTGTATATTTTTAGAGTCTATCCATAGGGAAATTATATAATTAATAAATATAAAAATTTATTCGATCACCGATTTACGTGATCGAAACAATTTTGCATAGAATATTTATTTTATACTTGATTTTTCATTTTTTCGTTTTACCTCTCGAATTCTGTTTTTATATAGAAAATATATTTTCGATTATTTAATTCATTGTACAATCAGCCTGCGTGAAAAGGCTTTTTAAATTCTCTATTCGAGCAAAAAATATTTAATCTTTATAAATTACATAGTGACTTCATTTCAAACCTCCTTGTTTCTTAGTATCGTTCCAAAAGCCAACAGTCTTATGTCTGACTAACATTTATTAGTATAAATCATTGTTAATTAATTACTTATATACCGATGATTAATGGTTCATATTATTAACATTTAACGTCACGACCTTGTCAGGCGAGCATTTAATACTTTCCGAATGCTCGAGGAATTCGTCATCTGGAAAAGATATATATCATTCACTCCGTTTCCACGTCTTAAACATTTCTCCCGTAATTTCGATGTATCAATCATGTACGACTGGATACATTCATTACCGGATATTAGGACTATAGATTTTTTCCGCGCCTTTGTTTAAATTTTCTGTTAGCTCATCGGTAGCCGCGGCATGTGCGATATCGGTGAACAGGCGATATAGATGAATATAGGATATCGTATAGTTCGCCGTGACGTGACAATAAGGAGCCTATGTAATTTTTCAAAAATTTGGATCATCTTTATTCCACCTTATCGAAAATATTATTTATCGTTAATGAGAATGTCAATAAGGTCGCCTATAGGATGCTTGGGAAACTTGTAATGCCGTACGATACCTGGTACTAAATTCTCGGCTTACGCTTTTATGGAGTCACGTATATAGGACTTGACTATGCGAAATCGAAAATCAAGAAGTTTCGTATAAATCATAGTATACGTTGACGTTCTAGGAAATTTCGTATTTTCATCATTTTCTGTGTCAGGTAGACACGGCGCTACCACTCGTGATAGGTGGTACGTGTTATAGGTGCTGTCCAATGTAGGAAAGTAGTACATACCGGTACTTCTATATACTTAAGTTGAAGAAAATCGATCGTCGTCTAGATGGAAAGATGAAAGCTCGAGAAGATCATCGAGCCGTTCGACAAGATGAAGGGATGAAGTTGGCACCAGGCGACGCTCCGGAAAATTTATCCGAATGTTTTTATTGACCCTTGACGGACGAAGGAATTTTGTGGAAACAAGGAAAAGAAGATTGTATCTGAAATAGGGTTCTCGAAGGATCAACTGGGAGCCGAATGTAATTGAGCGTGAACATCCTGGCGCACGTGATCCTGACATAATTTTGATTGAAGATTTGCGCCCGATCGGACACGCGTTCTTGTTATTGTCCTATGTTTTGGGCATTTCATTTTTTTTCGAATATTTTTCAGGACCACGTCTCGTAGGCCCTCCGTACTATCATCAGTTACGTATTACGATGCATTCAACCGAGATGGACATGTGTACTGTTCTGGCCTCGAGTAGAGTGACGGATTGATGACGTAGAGAAAGTTCACGATGTTCCTGGATCAATGCGACCAAGCTTTGTACAAGCTGCAAAAATTAGAGACGATGTAGAGGACTGGAAAGCTTTAGAAAAATAAATGAATAAAGAGCCAACGAAAACAGGGAAGATGGAGTATGGCAATGAAATCCTGGAAGAAGAATGAAATATTTTATGTAATTTATCCAAGAGAAGTGAAAGATACACCAAAAGAGGAAATTTCTTTTTCGAAAATATGCAATACAAAATATTCGATTCTGTGGCTTGTATAGACTCGAAAGAGCGTCTGGTATCCATGAAAAAAAAAAGAAAAGAATATGAGCATGAGCGTAATAGAAATGGTGAAAGGAAAGTGAATGCACTGAAATTGTATTAGAGAAATGAAGTGAAACTAAAGTACGACTGTCATAGTGTCAGAAATTTCATATGCAAGAAAAGAAGAAGACTAAGCATATTTTGCAAAATGAAACTCAGTACGTATACTGAAAAGAAAAAGAAAACTGAGCAAGCAACTATGCAAAGGAGTAAAAAAATTATAAAATCAGCGGTGAACAGTATAGAAAATAATTTAAATTATTGGAAATTAATAGAAAATAGCACAGCATGACGGAAGTTGATAGAATATTCACGAGTAAGATAAATGTCGAATTTGTATAACGCTGGAATGATTAAAGGGAGAATCGACGAGAAACCACATTGCAGATTTACGCTTTAGCCAGTTCAGCGGTTGTTGACTCAGGCAAAAGATTCGATAGGATTCGAGAAGCACGGAATAAGATAATACTGTCTCAGCAAAAGATTTTCATGTTTTCTTACACTGTTAAGGGAAACTGTAATAACTGTCACTATGGTCGTTGTCCGAGGTCGGACTCCTTTTTAACAAATCCCTGAGCTTAGACGTGGAAAAGTCTTGTCTTATATGGATTACAGTTATATCTAACTTAGGAGTCCGATGTCGGCAGACGACTATACATTGTCTGTTATATAAAACTGAGGAAAACGACAGTGGCTTACAAGATTAGATTAAATAGAACAATCAGCCGAGCAGAAATTCTGGACTGGTTCGTTTGCTTATTAAAAGTTGACATTACAAACTGATAAGTATTCGAAGATTTTTATCAATTTAAAAATTAATAACTCGTAGACGTCAAACGTGAATGCACCGGACAGTGAGAAGAGATTCCTGAGGATTCTGACGTACCCATAATCTTTCGATGCTCAAATTGGACGACGAAATTGGCTGTTATCACTCTACGAATAAACAAGAATTTCATGGAAATTTGTGAGGAACAACAACATAGACAAGATGAACGGTAATGGGAATCCAAGGTTGGACGGAAACTGATGAAGGTTGACAACCAGGATCGGCGAGGTTCAGGGTCCGGCAAGGATGGTAGTTCCTCCGATACCCAACTAGGGGACAGTTCTGGTCATGGTGGCAGGACGTGAAGTTGATCTTCAGGTTAGTGGGGGATGAACAGATGATCCGTGTGGCGCAATGACTGGACGTCTGTCAACTATAGAAGAACCCCTGGTCCCAAGTACTACCGAATCGCTGCCGTGCGAAGTGGCTGCAACTGGTCTGGAACCTCGTAGACGAAGTCGAATGTCCTGGATTTGTGGCCAGTCTTAAAGTCTTCAAGTTCACGTGAAACAGCACTAGCCGCTGGTCCAGTAGAAACGGTTATGGTATAGATAAGGCAATAGGGTACGCGAAGCAAAATGAAAGATAAAAGTCAGTAAACAAAAAAGACCAAAGGATCATAAGCGTAACAATATAAAATGGCTTAGCGAACATATCTTTTACTAATTGCACGTCAGCTATGTAAATTCTGTCTCGTTATATCGCGTTAACCTGAGAATTACAAAAATTTGACAAACGTATTTGCCGAGCAGGGATATGCCTTGAAATTAATGCTAATGGACGTTCGGTAGTTCCCGTTTATATTTTGGACCGAGTCAGGTGTGCAAACGAAGCTTATCTTTATGACGTCAATTTCCAGAATTCGCATTGCTGTATGAAATATACCGAGTTCGTCACTACAAGCGCATCGACCAAAGCCAAATTCAAATAGACAGATTAACCTCAGATGGTGCATTTTGTCTGAATATCCCTGTACAAGTACTACGTTGTCTTTAACACTGTGATCAATATTGGCACTTCCTTCTACGATCGAACGAACAACGTATTGTCTTTTACGTTGTCCCTGTCTAACCGGAAATGTATAAAAAAATTCAGAGCATTCAAAACCAGGAAGCTTTTAGTATTCACGTCGAGAAAACAATTTCAATGGAAAACCTTTTCTTTCCAATTTTTTAAAATGACGAAAGAGCTCTTAGTCAGGTTAGGTTGAGTTACCATTATTTCCTGTCGAATTAATGGATTTACTTAACCGAACTTCTCGTCGAACTGGAGCACCCTGTAGAGTCTTATCAGTCGAGAAGAGATGTCGCGTCATTGATACGACTATCGACGACGTCTCTCTTTCTAAGAAAAGTACTTTACTTTCTCAAGTTGTCAGACGACGTTGGAAGCTAAAATTTTTCGATGAAATTTTTACTGAAAGAGGAAGAACATCGCACGTGTACTCGTATCACAGAAATATGCAGCTCCGTGGGTGTTAAGGTAGAGGTAGAAATTCTGTAGACAGAAGTACAAAAGATCTGAGGTATGCAAACAAAATTGGAATATAATAAACCCTGTAAATAAAAACAATGGTAAAAGGGTTTCGCAGTGAACTTCATAAAAATCATCCCCTGGCATGTGTCACGTATATATGAATATACATATGTGTACGTAAATTCATATATGCTTACGCATATAGAAAACACAATTTACTCTGTAAGGTAACGCTCTGTTTAGACGCCTCGCCATAGACGATAAGTGGCATTCTATCAGATTAAGTACTGTGACGTCACGTATCTGAAAACTGACAGACCCCCATATGTAATCCAGGGTGCTACCACTGTATGCCTGAATAGCACTCGTACGTACTCTGGTATATCTTCATTGTCAGACGAGAAGTACATATGTACCTAGGAACAGCGGCTTAAGAGGCTCAAGCGGCGATTTATAAATGGCGGCCAGACATATAGAGATAAATGATTAAAGGGGTTGAAAAGCAGCCCTATCGACAAGCCGGCCGCACCCAGTAGAACTAATCAAGGGGAGGAACCATTGCCAAGATTGGTTCACTCCAAATAGATAAGAGTATTAATATCCTTCTTGAAAAGAGGAAGGTACATGTATTCTGTATAGCATGGAGTAAAACTTTCTGGGCCTATGGCATACGCTATATACCATTGAATTTTATCAATTTGTATACAGTAAAAATTTGAAAATTTCTTCACCTATGGTTATTTTTATTGTAATTTGGAAGCAACCACTCTCATCCTACGTACTGGATAAATTCAATGAAATTCATTAAATATATTTATTGTAGCCGAATTCACGAGGGGTTTCCGTAAGTCCCTTAGCGTCGGATACAGATAATATTTTTTTTTTATTATTTCGGACTTCCAATCAATAGATCGTATCTACTGACTGACGGATTGTTTTGATTATTTGAAAATATTTCTCGTTGTATATTGAGCAAGGATTAAGAAAGTAAATCATTATCATATCATACAGATATAGAAAGCTACTCGTGAACTTGTAATGGGTATACAGTTTAATTAGACTGTCGTTCGATTTTTGAAATTTTTATTATCATTCGTCATACCCTGTATTGCAGGGTTACACGTTGCAGGTTGCTCGGCTGTAATATAAATTGAAACTACTTTTGAATTGTCCAAACTCGATCGTAACGCTTACACGAGAACTGATTGCCATTGATCAAAAGATTAATTCACGATGACGCAGCTTTAGGCTTTATGTACATAGAAATTCAAATCCGAGTACGTATTATAGACTCGGTACAGAATGTAACTTTAATAAAGTTCACTCGTTATGATCTAAATGCTTCGAAAAGCTCCTTCGCCTATACTAAGAGCTTATAGCTTCTTTCTTTAGAGCTTTCGACTTAACTCTCTTTCTCTCTCTCTCTTCTCTCCTTCTCCCCATACCTCATTTTCTCTCGGCGTCCCTCTCTCCTGTCTCACAATTCCGTCTCAATTCTCTCGCTCTCTCCTAATACTTGCAAATTGTTTCGTAATAAGTTTGAACACCGGCGTGCAAGCGAAGTAACCTTCGCGTTGAATGAAAAAGCTTTCCGACGCTTTTCTTAAAACAGTATATTCCTTTTCCGGCGCAATTTTTCTGAATGAAATGTTAATGGACCAAACGATACAGCTTTCGGGACCCTTTATTATTTTTCCTTTCCCCAACTTCTCTCTCCCTCCCTCCCTCCCCCTTAATCTAAGACTCGAGATCACCAGTACTCGTTAAAATTTCCAAGGGCTACCACACGGAATGCAATTATTATTACAGGCATAATTATTTACGGGAAAAATTTTCAGGACCCACGAATTTTTTATGGCAATCTTCGAGTATCATTTCTCACTGAGAGTCCCCGATAAATCAACACGACTTCAACGAGTTTAGTAAGGGATTCGAGATGCCGGTACCCGAATGCCTGGAGAATTGTTATTCAGCTTGAACGTGAATTCAAAAGATTCACGTATACCTGGCACGAAAAACTTCAATGGATTCATGGAATAAATATATTTTCGTTATTAGAGAATCAAGAGCGATAAGCTGTACGTTTCAGTCATTTTTAATATAAAGTAATACATTACTTTCACCTTATCCATCAAACTAGATTTTATGTGTTACCCGAATTATAGTTGTATAATAATACCCTATTATTAATTTATTGTTGTATAATAATACCCTATACCTGGATATACCTAATTCCAACGATCCTACATAGCTTTGATTTACCGGTTATCATTGTTACATAGCAAAATTTCGTATACCGACTGACCATGAAATAACGATAATACGTTCCTGCATACAGGGAGATTAACTGCTATTAGGTATTACGCTCGTTAACCACGGTCATCCTGTTGCGATCCCACCCCTAAGTAACGTTACAGTCCTGGACCAAATCTACACCCTGTTTGTAATCACTTCAAGCGTGCAGACACGGAGCACAGAGCATAGTAGTACGGTAGTATAAAGAGAATAGCGTATAGTACCTGTACAGGGATAATGCCTAGAGACAGATTGCCTATAGGGTGTACTATTAAAATTGGACAAGCGATTGGAAAATAATAGGAGCTAATTAGTTTATCCAGAACTTCAAAATTTGGAGATCATCCAAGCGAAGCACTTTTGGCTAATTTTGTGTATTTTTTGAAGGATATTGTTTACCCTGAAACTATCTGCAGAAATGTTGGAATGGCTTTTGATATGAGGGTACTTTACGCAAGCGCCATTAAGCACTCAGTGTCCAAAAAATAATGCCCATAGTCTAGCGAGTCTACAATTTTCCCATTATCATTTTTATCAGTTTTTTATTAAATACCAAGGAATTGAGAAAAATTGTAATATATACAATGAAAAAAATTATAGGCACACCCAATCACTGTCTTGGTTGTAATTCGTACGGTAAATTTGTTGGTCAGTCGCTCGGTTTAATATATACGATGAAATTAATCAATCCTTATCGAACCCTCGGTTTATCTATTCTAAGAGAAATCCTACTACCCACATCTACCATTTCCTGTAACACCTAGTCCCACATAAACGGAATGGATATAGGGTAATAAGAGTCAAAGGTATTTAGGTACTATATGTATATATATACATACATATATGTACTATATATAAGGTAAGGTCGAACTTTACGGATGGCTCAAGAGCAATGACGACACCGGAACTCGATCCGTGTACTTTCATACAACTGTAACAAGTAACGTAAACATTGACTTGCTACTAGTTTCCAGTTTTTCCTTTATATGACGTTTATATGCAATTTTCACTTCGTGCTAAATCCTAGCACTTTTGGAAGTGCATTAACTTAGATGCGCGTACCTTGTCGACATACTGTGCACTAGTTTGAGCTGTTAGTAAAGAGCATGTCTGGCGCATGTACTGACTGTGCTACTTGTTACGGTATACCTTTTGGTGGGATCGTGCAGGCTGACTATTGACCGACGTAATTCACTTACTACGTAAAGCCAAGCTCACTCGAGTTACTTTGCGTTTAGATTTACTAGGAACTGATATAAGACTTTCGTATTTATCCGTGTAATAAATAAATCGAGAAATCAACGTCGGTCGTAGATTTCTTAAAGTATTTATATATGATAATATAATTGTATATAAATTGATACAGTATATTAAAATATTATCGTAAATTTAATTAAAGTTATACTCGATTAAAAATAAATGTTTATTTCAATTAATTAATTTCTAGCAATTTTTGTAATTGATATATTATCGAAATGCATGGTTTTTTGTTAATTTATTTTATATTGCGATTAATTATTCGATAGTTTTGAAATCTGGATTATAGACGCTGGATATTGTCAAAATATCGATCAGCTCTCCCCTTTCCAATCTCGTCTCTTATAACGACGGGATCAAGGTCTGTAAGAAGTTTCGTTGAATATCACCGATTTCCGATTGACCACCTTTTCTGCCAAGTACTGTGGATTTTCAGGACTTTTCTCGTCCTCGCTTCTTTTTTTCTCCTCTGTCTTTCTGGCTGCGAGGAAATTGTTTTCTTCGTCTGCAGTAGTCCCCAGGCATTCCACGTATAGGTATATACACTATATATACATAGCATATATGCAACTTTTAAGAGAGTACAGAAAATGGAGGGAACATACATAGGTCGAACGGTTAATGGTAATCGAGCACTTTCATTCAATTACCGATCACTCCCATTCCATGTAGGTTGAAGTCTGACCAGTTTGCTTGCTTTTCAGTTCTATTCTACTTGGTCCCTTTTATCCATTTGCCAGCGATCCTTTTACCATTTACCAAGGAAACGGACTAGCCTAGCGCATGTACCTACCTATATATGTACTCGCCAAATCTGTTTAATTATAGTATAGTCTAGGTATCTTGGTTTTTTTCATTTGACTAAACTAAGACTAGTCACAAAGCACAGGAAATCTAGCCGAATAGTACATATAGATGATATTCTCAAAAACTTCGATATAACCTTGTTGACGGTATCCGTTTTTAACATATCCTTTGTATACCTACCTATCTCTACCTGCTCTCCAGGACACGAGGCTGCTGCTATCGATCGTTGAGTCCAATCACTTTTCCGCGCAGGCATATACCTGCGTACCTGCGTCTATATATACATTTTTTTCAGAATCGCCTATAGGAACGATTATAGGTATTTCATTGGTACACACAGTTTTCCATAATGTATATAGAATAGCACATACAATGTGATACCCACTGTGCAGGTATAACTCTTAAGCGATGTACACGAGGGTTAAAGATTTCGGTTTTCCAGGATAAACGAAGCCAGTCAGGTTAAGAAGAGGAAACAGTCTTCGCGAGGTACCTTCCACGTGGCACGTTGTTGTCAAATTTACCCTGACAAAAGTAACGCCTCTCTGCTTTAATGTTGACGATCATTAAAAATTTTTGCTTTACTTTTCTTCTTTTTTCTATTTCTTTTTGTGTATGGTTCTTGCTAAAAACATTATGTTCAGTTTTACTGGTCCAGTTCAGCACGTGTATTTTCTGAATTAGAGATTTAACGTATCTGTCTGATTACAGGGTTTGTTCTCAAGGATTACCTTCAGGGAACCACTGTTTGTTGGAGGCCCCGGAAATACAACCGGCTTGGAAAGACTTTCGGTGAGGAGCGGATTTAGGGGTTGCGTCCGACATCTGGAAGCCAACGAGCATCGCTATCGTTTTCCACTTGCTCCACAAGGGGATGCTGCAAATGGATTTGACGTTGGTAAGGATTGACGTATGCATGCTATGGTTATCTCATAATGCATATATTCCCATAGATATATGTATATGGGTGGCTTCATGTTTCAAAAGCCACCAATACGTTTGCCCAAATATAATATTAAATTCAGAGAACGAGAGTGAAGCATGCATGTTGAAATTAACTAATATAGAAAAAAACTGTAATCGAATTTTTTGTAAAATTTTTATAAAATCATTGAATTCGCACGGAACGTTGGTTCTTCAAAATTTTTTGGGTTTCTAAAAATTTTTTAGTCTCAATTGATGCTTGTTACCTGTGATCGACACAAAATTTTAGCGGAACCTTTCATTAGTGGTGTTCTCGTGTATTTATTAAATTTACTGCAATAGTCAAATAAAAATTTTACACGCTTAATATAGATATAAAAAATCCATTCGATTTTCTATGATCGCAATTAATCATGATAAACTGACGACCGATTTGAACGCATATCAATTGGCATAAAAGGGACATGTGAATTTCTTCGATCGAACTGACGTTTCTGTCATTTCGATTCTCTTCAAAGGGCTCAAGCAATTTGTACATATTGCAATTGAAATTGTATCGGGATGGAATGCTTTTCGAATGGAGCTTTTGTGGAAGCTGCGTCGTAAGGATATAGCTTGTGATTCTGCGATAAACATCAAACCTTTGATAGCATGCTAGGTCACCAAACACAATGGTCACTAGTGCATTTTCAGACTCCATCCGAATATTCTTCAACTAGACACTTGATGTCGCTTTGACAGATAAAGTGTCGGTAGCTTAAAAAGATGAAAGTCGACCGATGCCGTGTCCCATCCGCTTAAAAAAACGAGTCTTTTAAGAGTAGAAAGAATATGGGAGTGAAAAATTCTACTCTAGAAGTCAGAACCGTAGCGTATACGCAAACATATAAATATTTTGTAAAAAAAATTAAATTTTAATCTAATCAAAAGCTATCAATTATCCAAAATTGCAAAAGCATGTGAGCTGTGTTATTTGAGTTTTTTTCCAAATTTCATACAAAAATGTCATTAAATTTAATGTCTTGTTTCCAAAATTTAGTTACCACATTGTTCACCGGAGACTTATCAATACGTCTTTTGTTATCTGAATTCCGTGGAACGGGGATTTATTCACATACACATTGAAAATGGCTTGTATGAAAACTAGCCGGCCGCGAGTATCAGTTTCTGCATAAATCTCCCGTTCAACAATGTGTTAAGTATGTCGAATACAGAAGAATTTATTTATTCCGCATGCAACAAACTTAAAAGACTAACAAAGGATTTTTTGGAAACTTAGGATAAAAAATATAGGGAAATTTAAAAAAAACGTAAATATATTTACACACCTGAATATCATAAAGTGCTTCGTTGTATCCGCTGGAGATGATGCACATAATTGATAGACATTTATTGTATGCGCTTTGGTGATCATAATACAGCTGTTGCATATTCGTAATCCGATGACTACCAGGAACTGCAAATATTGACAATTGATTATTGGTTCCCTGATAGAATTGCAGCAATAACCACCGGAGCTGATTAAAGTAAAATCGGACGAAGGAATCCACCCAGAAAGAATTCCCTAAAGGAAATTATTTTATTCAAAGGTATAGAAAGTCTAAGAATTCCATGAGGAAGATCACTGGGAAGAAAATACAGGAAGAAGATATTCTGTGGATGGAGCAATTTCAAAATCCATATCCAATGTAATTCGTGACAGAGACGCCAGAACTATTTGCATTGAGAATTGCATCCAATATAGCACCTAACTTCCGACCATAAAGCCCTCAGGAAAGTAGGTCGTTACTGATTCATAGAGTTAGTACATAGCTACAGAAATAAGTGTGAATTTTAAAGAAAAATTAAAAGGATTGGAAGGATCACAATTTGGCTTCGTTCCTCGTGCCTTTTTAGCACCTCAGACGAGAACAGTCATTCTCAATGTTCATTTTACAGCGATTAAAAGTGTTTTTATAAAAGGAATGACGGCGACGGTGGCGCTCCAGCGAGCAAAGTTGGAAGGAACTTAACAGAGAGAGTCTAAAGTAATTGTACAAAGAGGAGAACAAAGGTAGTCGAGATGCCTTGTCGTACCAAGTACAATCCTCAACCCAAAGTTCAAAGGTCAATGAGTACCTGTCGTCTGTCTCAACAAGGTTATACGAATTTAACCTCTTATCAAAGAGCCTACCGATAACACCACCACCGCCATCGAGTTTACTTACACCCTTTCTATTTACTGCCTAACTAAGTTTATCATCGATTTCTTCAGCCGGAATCGATTCAGCTTCCGGTACAGTCTCTGCTACTTTTACCACCCCGGATGACATTGAGAAATTTGTTTCCTTGGAGATTGCTGCCGATCGTTTATCTAGTCCAATTCTGAGCTTTCTAATTTGCGGGAAGTCACCTTTTCACAATTCCTAATTTACCAGTTTGATCGTAGATTTTCTGCCCTTGGGGATGAAAATGGCGAAGGGAAGTAACGCTATGCCAAATTTGTTTGTCATCTCCTTGCTCTGCGCGTCTACAAGGCATTACCTTGCTAACCCTAGTTTCTCCAGCTAATCGGATAGGGTGCTGCTTGGTGCTGGTGCACCCTACTGTCTTAAGATAGCATTTTCCTACCATGGCTCCTACGCCGCCCTCCCTTAGTCTTCCTGATATTCTACCTACATTCTATACCACCGCCCCCTGTTCCTGCAAACAGCTACACAGGAGACCAGGGCAAACCACCACCGGCTCACCTTGGCTCATATTGATCGAGCCCGCAGCCAGACCTGACTTGGGCATTTCTACTTTCCACCTGGAACCTGCCGCGGAACTATTTTAATTTTAATATCGTCACCGTCTTCTATTCTGCTTGATTGTTAATTGTAATCACTATCAGTCCTACCCCTACTGCTACACTTTTCACAATGGACGTTTTACATTGCTAAACTTCTGACACTTTAATTTATATATTTTATATCTATACCCAACGACTGGTAAGAAATTTCAGTCATACAAAGAAGTTTTTATTCCATCGAGAATCTGTATATCATCTATACGGTGTAACGGATCGATACGTCGGACAATGCTTTTACTACAAATCTATTATTACACGGTACTACGTTTGGCAAAGGCTAACATCAAATAAAATACCCGAGAGAATAACAAGGAACCTTACGGCTATTGCGTGCAGTCATTAAACATGCAAAAAACTTTATTTCCCATTTTTATTATAGTCACCGCTCGATACGATTTTATTGTATTTTTTTAATGCATTCTTGTTTCAGAGGAATGCACGGCCGACAGGTGCAGTAAGGTACCTTGTTCCCATGGTGGAAAATGCTTGACTACCGGTGGGGACACGGCCGTCTGTCTCTGTCCTCTCGGTTACACAGGCGACCTATGTGAAACTCGAGTTGACCTTCAGGTGAGTGCAGTCTCAATCTCCAAGATAGCGCAAAATTCAATGTTTTCCTTGCGAAGTGCCAAGGGGCTCCTACTAAATTGGAGCGATTAGCGGGAGGTCCGTTTATTTAGTTTAGAATAATGCTTGAGTCTGCTTGGAAGATCGTATAACAAATAACACTCTGTAAAGAGCATCTTCTAGGACAACTTGGTACCACGTGGCAAGAAGTCATATCCAAGCGTCTAAAATACACACATAGTCCCCATGTCTTGAGTTCTAACGTCTTGCTTCATCGTGCACGATTAAACAGCCACATTGCTATGCACGACAATGCGACTCGCAGAAGGTTTGTGAAGCTTTGAAAATGAAAGCTCTCCACCTAGAAACTGTGCAACGTCCAATCCCCTTTAAATGCACTGTTCGGTAGTCATGGTACAATAGTATTCGATGAAGAAGCATTGTAGGGGGCGTCAGTTGAATTCGAGGGGAGAGGAAGATCCATGAAAGGTCGAAGGGAGACGAGCTGGCAGCTTAACGTTAACGAAGGGGCGATAGATTGGGAAGATGGTGGGAGCGTATTCGTTTTCATGATTCAGCGCGAAGAAAAGTAGAGCTTCCTGTGAGTAATGATAATGTCCGGGGAGGGAGCAGCGACCATTGCCTATATGATATCGGACGAAATTGATATAGACCGTTGACGTATATTACTTTCGCCGACTCCGCAGAAAGTAAACCTTGATAGCATTCAGGCAGTGGTGTCTCTTTAGGGCGGGACGTAATATTCTTTTTCCCGACTGAAGACTCTTTGCATAATTTTTATTCTTCCTCTATTCACCTTCTGGCAATATTTTGCAAATATTTAAGCTCTCCTCGGTCCAGATGGAAGAAACCAACCACAGATGGCGTGGGTGCTATATTTATGTTGTAATACGTCACGCCAGTGGTGGGGCTGCTGGGTGAATTAAATTGCCTGGACCTACCTACTTCCTGCTACATTTTTTATACGGATAGTAAAAATATTGACACTCGTGGATATCGTTGGGATGAAATTGTATGCGTCGGGCACAGCAGTCGGCAGGGTCGTTACTGTCCTACGACTGTTAATCGCAAGGATATTTTCGTGGGGAAGAATGAGGTATCCGGATGAAAGTACGGATTATAGGTGGATCTAATTTTTTCTTATTTCTAGGTGCCGTCCTTCAATGGGTCCTCGTATTTAAGGTATCCCGGATTAGCCGATACCTCCCTATCCTGGCTGGAATTGGCCGTCACGCTAAAACCTACTGCTCCCGACGGTGTGGTTCTCTATAACGGACATCACAGCGATGCCACCGGTGATTTTATTGCACTCTATCTCTCCGCGGGACACGTGCAATTTACCTTCGACCTGGGAACTGGTCCTGCCACTTTGAGGTACGCTAATCCTTGCACGTCCAACACCACTCTACTAGGATCCACGTGTATGAACGACGATCGCTTTATCCCCGTCATGGGTCCAGTACAGCTTCCGCCTTGATGGCTCTACCATGAAATTGCAATTATATTCCGAAGGTCCTTGCAAAGCCGATTATTTAATCTCCTTCAGCAGGAGAAATATGATTCAGGATTTGTGGAGGAAGGTAATCGACAAGGATGAAGTACGCCGGCGCAGATGGACCCGGCTTGATTCACGTCTCGGGGAATAATGCTACTTGCATGTATCGCGTTTACATACAATATATTTACCTATTCTGACTATCCATCTATCTACCTACCTACCTATCTAAGTGCACATACAACCGTGCACGACTGGATTGAATAGATACGTAGTTTGTAAAGTGTAGGAAAATGCGGCAGAATGAATTTTTAAGACTCTTCTATGCCGATTTATAATTCAAACCATTGCGTCCTGTTGGCTCTAGGAAGTCAGCGGAAGATTTTCATTTTATTTTTTTTATCTGTTCATTAAAGTAGGTCACGTTTGCATTGTACGGCTGGACAGTTATCAAAAAATAGAATATGAATGCATAATAAGAATTCGAAGCTCACGGTCCTTCAATACGTTTTAATGCCCATTGTGTCTACATAGCCATTTGGATACGCGTTATTTAACGTAGAAAAAAACAATTTTGTCTGTTTCATGAATTTTTTGTAGCACATTACCACGTTTTTCGATATGGGTAATGAAAAATGAATTGTCATAGCGCTACGAGTGCGCGTGTGGAAATTTTAATTGGAAATCACGTTAGCAAATTTTTAAAAATAATCTGTTCGTTACGACCCCTGCGTAAATAATAAATTAAATCTCGTGTAGCCTTTAACGCAATTGACCGTAGAGCGAAATCATTGAGTATTATATATAGTAAATGTATATCTATATGTATATATAGTAAACATACCCAATATGTATATTGTATAGAGAAACGACTAAACGATAAATTGATCGCCATAAGTCTAAAAATGTGCCATTTTTTAAATTTCCAATGGACCAACAATACAATATTGATTGAGTACATAGTATATGTAAGGTACAGAACTATAGATACTTTCAAGTTTTATTAGTGAATATGAAAGCGATAAAAAATTTATAAAATAATTTTAAAAAACAGGAGATAAAAAATAATGACTCGGATCGACTAAAGTCTTTCCTGTTACTCTCTTCTCTCCCCGTTCTTGCTTCGACAATGTTAATGATTCACTGCGTTATTACTTCTCACTCCCTCTATCCAAATACTCTTCGATTTCCCCTTTAAATTATGAAATGTTCGACGAGTCTAATCGCCCTCGGGTTTCCAGGGTTCTCAGGACCGCAGCTTTCGCGCGTAGTTCATCCCTACCCAGAATATCCAAGTGCAAACTTTATTCGCATTCACTTCGTGGGATTGAAGGGGTACAGTACTTCGAGCTTTATAACTCCCAGCCCTTTTGGCTCCTATTGGTTTTTCATCACAAGGGCTTAACGCCGGATTAAAAGCTCTCAGTTTTTTTACATTCACTTTTGAACCCCTTACGAACCTGCATAAAGGACTGCGAACGTATTCCTCATTTTACTTCACTGTCTCATCTCCACTCACCGCTACCCTTTATACCTCTTACAATTCCCGATACTCTTCGAAATACTGATTATTAACAGATCTCTTTTCTCTCTTGAGCTTATTCATTCGCCATTAATATTCCACCTTGACCCTGTATCGACTATTCTCAAGACGTTCGTTTTACATCTGGATTCGCTCTCGAGTTATTTCAAGCGGCGTAGGAAGAGTCCGTTATCTTTGGAAAATTTTGCCAATTTTCACGAGCATCGTCGACGAGTTGACGTGCAACGAATTTCATTTGTGCTCGAACGTGACGTTGCGTTAAAGGGGTTACTGGAATTTCAGGAATATTCCGTTCGTACTTCAGGACCAGCGTAAGCCAGTCGTTTACTGATCGTGAACACAACATCACGTCTATATGTATACCCTGTTAATATTTATTTACCTGAATTATCATACAGAAGAAAAACAAACACGAGATAATTGAATAAAGTAACAAGGGTCCGATGCACGTGGCACAATTTAGTACTGTCACCCTATACATACAGTACACTAAAAGAGCAGTACGTGTCTGTGAAAATTATATTTTCTCAATATTACTTTCAGTCGAGAAGAAAATTGCTTGTATCGAACTTTCATAAATTTACATTTAATTCAACAACAGGCATAAATCTTGGTGATTGTTCGCGATTTAACGTACCTTCGACGTGAGCGAATATCCCTTTCCGTGAGTCTAAGCCGAACAAACCTCCTGTAACTAAGCATCCCTTTACTGTCTTCTAGAACGTATGCCACGCGTATTGCTACGTTAGATGGTATATATATATATAGTATATATGTATGCTACCGTAAACTTTACCTCCTATATATTAGAGGTGTTCATGCATAATCAAAACTTTCCTGTAATTTCGGGCCGACCTGGCACAGCGAATTGTATTATGACTGTACTCAAACACGAAGTAGAAGTAGAACAGAGAAGAAGTGGAGTATGAAAATTGTTAAATCTGAATATTGTATTTCCAGGAGTGAGACGCCGGTTCGTCTTGGAGAATGGCTGGAAGTACGTGTGTCGAGAACAGGTCGTCTAGCTTCGCTAGAAGTCGAAGACGATCCACCTCAGGAGATCCTGGCACCAGGAGCATTCACGCAGTTGTCCCTGCCCTTGAATCTTTATCTGGGAGGTGCGCCGACCCCGGACATGTATTCACCGAAAATGAAAACAACAGCTAGTTTCATTGGATGCATACAGACGGTTATACTGAATGGTAGAGAAGTAAGTTGAATTGAAAAGAAAATAAAGCACTGATTTTAGGATACCGTAGAAAATTTTCATTGGTCTTCTGTATGCCGCTGATGAAGGATTTATGCATAAATCAAAATTCTGTTCTCTCGTCGGCTATATGACTACCGGCATTACCATGCAGCACTACTTGATGAAGGTAATTCATTGCACGTTCTCTGAACAGGTTGGCATCCTGGCTGAAGCTCTTGGTGGGGTGAACGTTGGAAATTGTGGACATGCCTGCGAAGCTAGACCTTGCGGTGATGCGGAATGTCGTCCTCTTAGAGAGAGATTCACCTGTCGCTGTCGTCCTGGAGTGCCACACCCTTGTCCAGCGCCGGATTACACTTCATTAACACCCTCACCACCAAGACCAGATCCATCTGCACCGGCTAGATATGAAAAATCCGTACCCAGCTTCTCGGGTAGCGAGAGTTATCTACACTACAGTGATGCAGATACCATGAAGAGGTGAATAGACGGAGCACTACTTAACCATCGCTAGGTTCACGTAGTACCAGTTTTCTGAAGGAGGACTATTGAAGATCGATGCGAAATATCTGCTTTTCAGAATAATAAGCTACCGAGTGGACATCAACATGCGATTCAGGGCGAGCAGCAGTAGCGGCTTACTCCTTTGGAGCGGAAGGCAACCTGATCCCCAGGAGCAGAGGGATGCCAACGATGATTTCCTTGCTCTCGGCTTAGATCAGGGCTATCTCACTTTGGCCTATAATCTAGGCTCTGGAGAAGCCGTTCTCAGATACAATCTCACGAGATTAGACGACGATCTTTGGCATCGCGTCAGAGCTGTTAGGTGAGCTTATCTTATGAGATTGTTGTTATGTAATGACAGAAACGCGATTGAGCTGTGGCATTTATTATTGTATAGGTAAGATAGCTTTTTCATTCGAAATCTCTCTTACTCGATTATTTGTACCCTCGAATCTTGATCCTTTTATTTTCACCTCTCGTAGAAACGGAGCCCTCTTCTTGTTTATTAATTTCTATAACTCTAAAACATATCTAGTACCGTATACGAATACATTTACTGAGGACTAGTTATTATGATCCTTGACCGGGAACCTTAATTATAGACTCTAATTGATCATTGAGTTTACTCTGGTATTCTCTTGTTCAAGTATGCCTTGAAGCGTAGCTACCCTTTTAAAAGTATTATTATTCTTAAAGACTATTCCTTTTCCTTTTCTGTATTAAGGAAGGAAATGGCAACACAAATGTATACTTAAACGAAAAAGCCTCTAATAAATTACCTCCTTTCTCTTTCTCTCTCATATTTCGTTCTGTCTTTCTCAAGCTCTGTAGACACTACCTAATCCACCATTCTTACTTAAATATTTATCAGATTACATTGCTTGGACCATCCTCAACAATATTTAACGTGAACCAATTCAGCTCAAAAGATGCTGTACAATACCACCGACCTTGTTGTACGTTAATTCCTACTTAAGTTGAAGACTATTATTATAACTTATTTGAAATACCTTGCAAGACACTCATTAATAATACTTCATAATTCTATAGCCGTTCGATATATTTAAAAAAATATATATAAAATCGTAAACAGGATCATTTTTAAAAGAAATTTCTTCCTTTGTGGAATTTTCACCTCTACTGCACAAGGGAGATGAACGTGAGAGCTAAATGAGTAAACGGCAAAGAAAATGAGAAATGAGTGATCAGAAAGAGAATGAAGAATCCCAAAGCTTTTTCGGTATAAAGTAAATACAGTTTTATAATATTTTTATTGTCCCACAGAAACAAGCAGTGGGCTTCGCTCGTGGTTGATAGCGGTACAGGAGTCTCAGCATCTTCTCCTGGACAGTTGAGACAACTTAATACCGATACGGGTCTCTACGTTGGTAAGTTTAAAGTTTATGTATAGTAAAAGTATTTTGAAAAGTCATGGTAATGGGCATTGTGGCCATATTCCAACTTCCACGATTCTGCTCGGACTTCATTAAAATTTACAAAAGAGCAACGGCCTGAGGTGGCACTTGGAATGAGTTTAAGACGTAGATATATCGAAGTTGTATCGCTTCGGTTTCGTTTAACTTGAATTTTTTAATTTAAGGTGGTGCACCGGACATCGTAAGGACAACGGGAGGAAGGTATATAAAGGGCATCGTAGGCTGCATCAGCGATCTGGTATTGGACTCCGACTATTCAGTGGCGCTGCTGTCGCCGGAACAGGCAACTAACACTCACTCCTGCATTCCCTGAGTGTTTCAGAATATGCAATAGGAGGCCGGATATCACGCGAAGTTAGGATATGAAAATTAATGAATAAAAAATAAAAGTTGAAGTGTGAATTCCGTTGGAAATCGAGGAACGGAGAGCGGCCATTTTATGGAATTACGAACTTCTCCGTACCGGTCGGCGTGTTCGGATTACACTTAATCATGACGTCGACATGGCCGACGAATCATATTTTGTACAGACTCTTACGAAGTGAGGAGTTTTTAAAAGGTAGTGAATTTCTCTACCCTCGAGGATAGATCGACTGTCGGATTCTAGTCAGCTTCTTGTAAATATTAAAATAATTGATACACCGATCTATCCGCCTTGATAGGCTTTCTTCCGTGGCAACTTCCATGTTGTTATTGTCGATTTTATCTGTAATCTTTCTCTTGGTTGTCAGCTCTGATAATTTTTACTGCTATTTATTAACGGCTTTCGGAATAACAGATATTTGCATTAATTACTTTACCTACGTAATTTTATATCACTCCTTATTTTATTGATTGCATAATTGTGTGTAGATATGTGACTTAACGCCTCCTATTTGTAACAACGCTGTCATTCGAATTTGACCTTTAACCGGGAAATTGATGTCTCGGAAAGCCGAAATATTTTTTAATAAAAATATTCGTCATATAATTGCAGGAGTGCACTGCAATGAAATCGTTTATTCGATACTCACACGTGGTGCGAATAACGTGCACTTGTAATATTGTATGGTTGTTTACATCATGTAACGCGTGCGTATGAATGAGAGCTGTCGTTGAAAAGGAACGCGAAGAAAAAAAAAACGAGCTTGTGTATTCTATGGTACGTTCTCTGTGTGTACATATAAATATATTATTTATTATTCTAAGTAAGTTGCCATGGTAGAAATCATTTGGTCGGTGGTGATCGTCTCCGGGCAAATATTACGTAGGAGACACATCGTCTACGAGATGACGGCTTTTGGCCTAAGGAAACAGATTAATAGAGAAGAAACCCCTCCGCGTCAATTTTGTATCGCCACTTCCGACCGGAAAAAGAGAGAAACCCGTTATAAAATTCAAACAGCAAATGTCGCACCTTTATATTCGTATTGCACAATACGAGTCGGTATTCACGTCCGGGCACATCGCAATTTTTACCAGTGAAGTTATATGTACTTATCTGCCACTTTTATATGTAACGTAAAATTTTTCACGATTTTTTAGAGAGCAATTGATCGAATTCACATGCTTACGTATATGGCTTAAATACATCCACGCACTCTTATTTTTTAGACGGGGTTGATTACAATGGCAACTACTTGTTAAAGGGGAGAAAACCTTGCAAAGATAAACAAATAATTTCGTGTCGCTCTGCGCGAAGTAAAGAAATTTCATATGGAGACGGATAAAAACTGGACCAAAAATCAAAATAATTTTTTTTTTCATTATTTATTTTACGTATTAAGGGCACGAATAATAGTGCAAGTCCAATTGAATTGGCTGGGAGTAAAAAGTTTTGATCAAAAAGTTGACACCTGTTTGTACAGTCTGTCGCTCGATATCGTTTATTTATAGCAATAATAGAGTGAATTGGGCTTCTCGATAATTATTACACATTATCTGGATAGTCAATCCCACTTTCAGGAAAGCACGTCTACGCTTTCATTAGGAAATTAATTAGCAATTGTATTACGAACGTAATGGGACGATAGAATATTCATATTTATCATGAAAAATTCTCAGTGAACGAGAATAAAAAATAATGTTCTCCGTGTCCGATCGAATGATCTTTGGCCCAGTTTGGTCAAAATAATTTTTCAAGAATTATTACCGGTCGGACGAATTCCAGGTCAATACGTATACACGCCATATCCAATAAAAAGAAAAAACGGTGAAGAATAAAAAGAATATGTAACGAATAGATTAATGACGTAACGATTTGTCGACTTTATCGAGAGAATTCTATAACGGTCGACCCCTTGACACAGTAACACATCATAGAAGCAATCGGCTATAGTCAATTTTGTACAAGCGTTATTTTCTTGAAACTATATATATAAATACATATTAATGAAAAAGAGGTAAATGGTAATTAACGTAGAGATTAAAATATGATAAATAAATTATTCGGTATTGTTAGTGATGTAAGTCACACTCGGTAACTTCGTTAGCCTATTTTCACAGCACCTTCAGTTTTATTTAAAATCTATTTACGTGCTTATCAAGTAAATTTTTCATTTGAAATGTATGTACGCTTAATTCACAAAGAACGTAAATTATCATTACTTATTATATCAGAGTATCGTTACGAACATTGTTTTTATTCAAAATCTCAGCTTGCAACTTGGATACTAATTGAATGACTTATTCTAGATCCATATATGTACCGTGAGAAATATAATATGGACATAATAAGAACAGTACACGAGGAATTAAAATAAAACAAAGAAAACTGATAATTTCTTCTTTCAATAGTTTCTCATTTTTTTAATACTAATTCTGAGTGCAGTGAACGTCGTCTCGCGTCTGGCTGAATATTTGAATGTCGTAGAGAGCAATACAAAAATATTATAACTACAGCTTTTCGAGAAGAAGAAAAGAAAAAAAATAAATCTCCCTCCTACGGTCGTTGTAACCATTTACATTGATTTACGTCATGCGAATGTACAGTTTCACAGAGAAAAAGAACTATACATTTAGATAAATATATATATAAATACCTATAAATATTTACAGAGAGAGAGAGAGAGAGAGAGAAGAACAAGAGAGAAAAGAATGAAAGCGAGTATGTGGACCGTCAAACTGAATATATTCTTTTGACAATGTCCAAGAGAAATCGTACGTAAACACTGTCCGGTGTAAAATAATATAAATGTACCTATACGATACTAGCAATACACGACCGTGCGTCTGATTTAAACCGCATACTTATAATTTTGTATCCTAACTGATATATTCGTTTATCCCTTTTTATATATGAAATCATTACTTTTCAATACCGATACTTGAGAGTAGCTAATGCCACGAAAGTCGACTACACTGTTCACGAATAATATGCTCCGTTCCCTTTCCTCATGGAATTGCAGTGCCATGCGAGTTTATATAAAAATTGTATCATCCAAAGGACTGGCTACAGATTATACAAGCTCTAATTATAATTACTATGTGTACGTGTGAGTTTATGTATGCATTGTATGCACTCGTTCAAATACAATTGATCGATCACTGATTAATTGATGACGATGGTAATTCGATTAGATTTTTTCTTTATTCTGTCGCCAGTAATGAAAATCTATGCAAGGTTGATCGTCCGATTGTTTCAGGGGATGTATTCATCCTCTTTTTTTATTCTCAATCCTCCCTAATAATTTAACGCTTAAATTTATTTTACCCATTAGTATTGAATCCCTCTGGACTCGAAGCACTTCTCTTGATGAGAAAGAATTTCAATCAGGAGATAGTAAAATTGTGAGCGTATCGATATCACTTGCTCGGTAATTGGATGGAAGATTTAATGCAGAATGTAATGAGCAGTATATAATAAGGCTGATAAGGATGATAAATATGTCGTGATGTATGGTACTTAAACTTAACACAGTCTCCTAACTATCATCTCACACACAGTCAGGAGGCACGAGGTAAAAGCAAGGAAAAAGTAATATATTGAGGAAAGCAGGAAAAAATCATACATATTAAGTATATAATAGGTAATAAATATATTATTATGGGATACTATAATTAATATATGATGCTACATTAACTATTTCTATTATGTCCATCTGCAAAGTCTATTACAAGAGTCTAAGCTACCCGACCGAGATATGTATATCCAAAGTCCTTATATATTATCATATAAGTTGGTTAAATAATAGTGAAACATAACTCGATTGGAATTTTTTTCTTTGATTCACACGCTTATAGTCGCGTGTAGTTTTATCGTTAAAACGGATCAAAACGAGCGTCCTATACGTCACTTCAACTTTTCGTTGTGTCATGGATCAGGCAATAGAATTTAATTATGTAAGTTCTTTAAATAATTAAGATGAACTCAAGAGCATTGCCATAAGTTCATTATTCACGTAGGGAACGTGTCTTCTATGTTTGTACATGAAATTTATGCCCAAAAGCCATGATGGCGTCTTTACTTCCGTGGCGCCTTAAAGAAGTGAAACTGCGAGACGAGGAGAAAAACCGTGAAGAGAAAACTTAAAACTGTCTTTTCGTTATGTCAGATTTTACCTTCGTTAAGGATGCTGACGTAATTATAAACTCACTATCACATGGAATTCTTTGTGAAATTATATGTATGTTCGTACACCCAGCGGTATAATTCCATATGGACTATCGTTGGTCCGCGAGATCAGTGTTTTTCAAGGGGTCTCCTGCTTTATGGATTATAACGTAAAAAAGTCCCTTTGTTGTGACATTGATGTCGCGTACCGACTAAATGAGCAAGTGTGTGTTGTTTCAACCCACGTTGTCAAAAGCATCAATAAAGATGAAATTTTGTAAAGCAGGAAAAGATTTTTTTTTATTATTTGTTAATTTCTTTTGATGCGTTAGTAGTGGGGACCGACAGGAATGCGAGAAGGACCGAAGCACCGACGTAACGAGCTCGCACTTTTTGCAATTCTTCATGTATCCCTTGCTGCCTAAGAATCTTTCAGGTATTATTGAAAATGACTCAGCGCCTCCAATCGTTGATATACGGAACTAAAATTTGACAAATTTATTGGAGAAATCGGCATTCGGAAGCGCCCTCTATCTGATATACGGAACTAAAATTTGAAAGATTTTCTGGGAAAATCATATGGAAAAATACTACACTTAACGTCTCTACACGTATGAGATATACTCATTACAAAGTACAATTACAATCAAGTTAACGTATACTTAACATTACCAAAGTGTCAAAGCATAAGGGAAAAGGAGGAGAAAAAGGAGAAGGATGCTGTTAGGACGGAGGAGAGTAAGAGAGAGAACTCATTCATACTCTGGGATATTGGCAGAGGGCAAAAGAATATCAAGGTGTATAAGTGTTTAAAGATATTTTATTCGACAAACGCATTCATGATACAGTATACAAAGTACAGATGTGCGTATATAGCCTGCGAAAGATTAGTAATAACAATGCCATTAGATATATATTTTAAATATTTCACTGCAATATAATATACGTGTGGTATGTTTATATGCGCTACTACTTTGGACTTTTCCTTTTCCAAAGGACTTTTTAACAAGCTAGGAGAAGAAAGATGGAGACATGGGAAAGAATAGGAAACTTAAAAAATAGAGTAGAAACGTTTGGTGATAGCATGGAAGATGTTGTTGAAGGGAAAAGAAGGAAGATTGTCAAAAAGAAAGTGTGAAGAAGAGAGATGGTAAGGACTGAGGAAACAAGGAAACGGACTACCCCGCACGACCTCCCCGCCGGCACATAGGATCGTCTCTACCCACACGAGTGCTCGAGGGTCAACGACATATTGGAGCGTTTTTAGCAAAGCGAACAAATTATACTAAATACGCGAGAGCTAGACACTCTGATTAGATTCACTATACGAAAGACCATGGCCGTAGATACCCTAAGGGGGCTCAAGGCCCTCGTCGGGAGACCCATAAGGTCCTGTTGCGGCCACAACTTGGGCCCGACCCACTGAGCAAGCTCAGCGGATGAGGCGGAAGGGCAACCCCCGACACCATGGTCTTTACGTGTAGCTACTCTAACAGGGTGACTACCCTTGTATGACTACTCGAATGAATATGCTCGACCAGACCAAAGGAATAGGACAAGCAAGACAAGGACAATGGAAAGTGAGAGGGAACAGAGTGAAACGAGAAGATAGAATAAAGAAGTTAAAAAGTAGAAAAGTAAGGAATAGGGGTATAAAAGTAGAGAAGAAATAAGGTAAGAGATAAATGAGAAAGTAAAGAAGAAATAAATACGGAAGAACAAAAAGGTTGGAAATGGATATAAAGGGTGTTTCCAAGAGACCAGTATAAGAGACCGGCTCGTGGAAGAATGAGCGCTCCGAGTCCGGACACTGCCTCAAACGCTCCCCCCACTCTTCGCCTGCTCCGACTCGCCGAATTCTGCGCGACGAATTTGCGCGCACACAATTTTGGACAACTTCCAGTACTTCTAAATATGCTTGACTAGAATTTCCAATTTCTAAGTGTTAATATTTTACTTTATTGATTTAATTAATTATTTTAATGCTCCAAACACTTAATTTATTAATATTTCAATTTGAACGCAATTTATTTTCGATATTGTACAACTTCACTAAAATTTGTTTCTATTCCGTATATTCTGCGAGATTTTGATTTAGCATACTTCTCAAGAACTATTGAGAAAGCCTGTTGATGAAACATTTTTCAAAAATTGAGGTGCTATACGGGTTTCCAGGTGGCACCGCACTTTCTTAAAAATGTCTTAAAAATGTTTCAACAATAGGCTATTTCAATAGTTCCTGAGAAGTTCTATAGTTCCCGGTCTCGTTCTAAGGGTTGCTTTGGTGAGTTTCGGTGAGTAGCGGAGAACCTCTGCCCGCCAAGCTACACGTTCGTGTTCACGTTTAGCTCGGCTACGACGGGATTCGCATTGTCGACGGAGGCGATGATCATAAAATCCTGCTCCCGGACTCGATGCTACTATTTAGCGCCATGTTTTTAGTATCACCTAAAACCGTAGCATTGTGCATCTTCCTACTCGTCTCTGTAAAGGACATGTGCTTGACATACGGGTCAGAACACGGTCTTACATACAGGCACATACAGATCTTGCAACTTCCATGGAGGGGGTAGTCTTCTTAAAGAGGCATCTTTCATTTCGCCTCATGACCACAAGAGGCGTTGCGATCAAGCGATCCGTTCCTATTTCTCTCTCCCACAGCCGATTGTAAAGTGAGATAGATAAGAGGTCACTCGATCACAGCGACGCTTGTGACTAAAAGTTAAAATGCACCCGGCTTCTTTAAGACGACTACCCCTACCGCTGAAAATTTGGCGAGTTGCAAGACCTGTATGTAAGACCGTTGAGTGTAGATAGGTATAGAGGTGCGGAGGACGTGGTGGGGGTATGTCAAGCATATACTATAGTAAAATTTTAGTTCCAATCCCGGCGGGTAGATGGCGCCCCGAAAATCCCAAGCTACTTGTGGCGCTGCGTATGAGTGGGAATTTGTACTAAAAGAGACTGTAGCGCGCACGCGCAAATTGTTTGCAAGAAACAAGCACCATTTGTTCCGAGTGACATTAATAACACAAGAAACATGATTTGACCGGCGTGAAGCGCTTCAACCTCTTTAATACCTTGTATTTAAAAAAAAAATCATAATGTCCAGAAGAAGAAAAAAAAACTTCCGACGAAGAGTCTCGAACCACACATTTCTAGCCTCCTAACCCAATGCCTTGCCTATCGACCAGCATCATGTACTTTATTATTAATGTCACTCGGAGCAAATGGTGCTTGTTTCTTGCAAACAATTTGCGCGTGTGCGCTACAGTCTCTTTTAGTACAAATCCCCACTCATACGCAGCGCCACAAGATAGCTTGGGATTTTCGGGGCGCCATCTACCCGCCGGGATTGGAACTAAAATTTTACTATAGTATATGCTTGACATACCCCCACCACGTCCTCCGCACCTCTATACCTATCTACACTCAACGGTCAGAGTGAGAGTGTCCATCCCTGACCAATCTACATGCTATTACAAATATTTTGTACCGCCAAAATTTGTATTGAAATGTCTGACATTAAAACTGTCATTGCGCTATTATGCAAACATTTAGATACAGCTGCTAATGTTGCGCTTAAACCAGAACATTTCAGACTATCTAAATTTGACAAAAAATCAGATGACACTGTGAGTTTTAGTGAAATTATTGTTTTCTAAGTTTTAACTTGCATTTTATTCATTTTTAATTGTTTTTCCAGGTCAGAGCGTTATGGAATGCATTATATACCTTGAGTTGTTACGCTTTGGATGAAGATCAGGAAAATGTCAAATTCGGTTTGTTTTCATTTCTTCGTAGTATGAAATTTTGTTTGTTCTATGTATTATTTGTTCACGAATTTCTTTTGCAAATGTCATCTTAGATATTTGTATTGCAGATAAATTTACAACAGTGAAATTAAACTTTGCTTACTTACAATACACTGCAGTAAACTTTTATTCCCTGCTTCCATCGGATGACTGCAGTTCTAGAGAACTAATCTTGGCCTTTGCTTGGCTGCTTGGAGCTCACAGCGTTTTGAAAGACATAGTTAGAAAGAAAATTGCTAGCAGTAACTTAGGGAGAGAATATTCTTCTGTTGATATATCAGAAGTAAGTACACGACTGATTAAACCAAAGTATATTTCTTAAGATACCAATTACACCAATGCAATTTTTTTCAGCAGGATGTTTCTGAAAGTGAACACTTACCATCTTTAAATGCCCAAATAAATAATATTATGCACATCAGTGGTAAAATAAATCACAATATGAAAGGAATCACAGAACTAGTCAATGAAAAAATTAAGTTGACTGCAAAAGTCCATGCAACCAGCATAAATGCAAGTGGTTTACCACATTTAAGTGTGTCGGAAATGGCATTAACAAAGCGATTGTCTGTACAGAATAAGGACACCCCATTAAAAGATGAACAAATATTGCACGAATTACATAATTTAGCAGTAATGCTTGATACGCATGCAAAATGGAATAAAAAAAAACATATATTCTTTGATTGGATGGTTAGGTTCAAGTCATAAATATTTGCATACATTTTTTTTCTATAACTAACATAGGAGCGTGATTACAAAATAAAATTTCATAACAAAGTAATTTAAATATAAAAATTCTTTCAGATAACTGTAATTGATGAGCATAAGAAATGTAGAGCCAGTGAATTCACACAGGACAATCAAAATGAATTAATAAAATTTATTTGTTTGCTACGTCAATTAACAAAGTGCAATTTGCGAAATCTAAAACGTACAAGTATTTCAACCAAGAAATCAAATATCGATTGGCAATATGCTTCTCGTTATTTACGAACTATGCATAACGCTACAGAAACTGAAGATTGGATGTTAGAAACAAAAGCACATTTAGAACAGACAGAAACTGAACTGGAAGAAAAGAAGAAAATATTGACGAATCAATTAAACGAACTGTTAAGTGCTATTCCAAATTGTATTGAAGCATAATCGATTAAACATTCATAAAAATAGAAATAATATTTCGCAAAACCGTTTATTCATTTTATTTCTCCATTCACGTTATAAAAATTACATTAAGATTGTGTAATAACCGTCATATTTCATCGTTTTTTTACTTACTAATTATCTATATAATTCAATATATATCGTTGAAAAAACGACTAGTGTATTAAATTTCAGTACGTGCTAAAGATTATCAAAAAAATTGACCCAGTCAAACAATTCTTATTCTGGTCAACAGAAAGTACATAGTACAATAATAAATACACATATGTATCTTTGGAAGATTAATTCTATTCGATGTTTAGCAGCATAATTGCAATAATTATTATCTTGAAATGTGCAATGATAGAGTTATGACACGTAAGAAATTTTTGTGCGTCTGTTTGTTCCCATTCAAAATATACATTTTGTTTTGTCATTGTCGTTAGTACACATATACATCTACATATATTTCTGTATTAGATCCAAATTAACGATATCCCAGGCCAGTCCCATTGGATTGTCCCATACATTACGAATTCTTAAATACAATTGTGAACACAACGTTTTCATAGTATTTTATCGACTTTCAAAGAGACAACTTTTTTCAATTAGACATTTGACTTTCGGAATTAAATTACACTAGAAACGGGGGTCATAGTTTTTCTCTCGGATAGCCCTGTATCCTTTTTAATTTCTTTAACGCACATTTAGCTGCCGTGCACTTAGCGATTCTGTAATTTCTCCCAATTCCTTTAAAGGACCCTTTCCCAAAAACGTCTACGGTTACACGAACCCTACGTCCATCAGCAAGTTTCTCAGGTTTTCCGAACTTTGCGGTCTCGGGTTCCAACTCCAGTAACTCCCGAATTGGTGATTTAGGAACATTGGTACTGAATTGCTCTACAGAACATGATAGATGTTTTATAAAATGTTATGAGATAAAAAATATAAGTAAATAGATTGCGCACCAATTTCGGACTTCATTATTCTGTAATAGACACTCCAAACTGCGTCGAGAGACATTCCACTGTCTAGGTATATTGCACCAGCCAAAGACTCGAAGACGTCACCCAATGCCTTTGGTACTTCCACATCTTCAGCCTCTTCACATTCTTCTTCTCCAATCAAATAATACTAAGATCATAATATTATTTTATACTTGATCATAATATATATATATATCGCAATTAATGGTTCACCGTTTAAGTTACTTCATGAACTTAATATTAGTCAAGTCAGTCCTTACCTCCTCACTAATAGAATGACCATTTTCTTCTTGAATCCTGACAAATCGATCGATAACAACACTTAATCCAGGTGACAGATGACGAAAATATTTATGAAATCCACATCGAACAGCCAACGAGGCGAATATAGTATTATTCACCAGAGCTGATCTTAAATCCGTCAAAGCACCCGGGGAGTGTTGTCGCGAATCCTCATATAAGTGTCTTGTTATTAAATAATCTAATTATCAAAATTAGTTAGCTTCTCCATATTAACATCGAGTAATAAAAAACGAATGAAATTCATGTAATACCTAGTACAGCATCTCCTAAGAATTCCAAACGCTGATAACAGTCTGTCAACCTGTTTGGTTGATAAGATGCGTGGGTGAAAGCTTGCAAAAGGTAACTCGTATCCTGAAATTTGTATCCTATATTTTCCTCTAACTGATTATATCCATCAAGCATCGTTTTCAATTCGCGTTCCGGATCAGGCGTGTGTCTCAGTAAAGGATATTGTGGTTCCTCTAATTTGCCATAGCGTATCTGTAACATAAAACAGAAAATTGCATACACATAACTAATTAATAGTTTGTTTAAAATATATATTTAACATTAATTAGTAGCTAACCTGTGTCCATATGGTTTTACCATACTCATTTATTCTTTTAACGTATGGCGTACTCCCAGGATATCTTTCTACAGGTTCAGTATCCTGAAATATACACACTTCTTCCGTTGGTAAGACATGAATTCCTAACCAGGCCATAAAAAGTAAAGCACCCCTGGGGCCGCAAGCAATTAAGTATGCTCCAATTAATGCTTCCACGCAATCGGCTATGCTTTTGTCTGGGATACTATGCTGTGTGATTAGATTATACGGTATAAAACACCGAAAAGTATCTAGATCATTTGTTAAACAGCTTTCATTTTTATCTAGCTCGATTCTCATGATTCCTAACTTGTGCTCCGTCTCGCGAACCAACTGAGTGATGTCAGTTGGATTGACAGCTTGAAGAGCTGGAATGTCTGCCTGATTCCAAAGCGTGGATGGCACACCAGATTCGATTAACGCTTGTTCCAATTCTCGAGGTACGTAGTAACAGGGTGGCAGCCAATTATCATGAGGTTCAAATTTTGTTGCTATCATACTTTCTCCAAGCATTTTTTGTCGTCCCAGTCGATAAAGGTTCAAATTGCTTACCTGAAAGAAAAATAACGTGCGCAGATATCGTAAGAGAGTTAGAATGAATAACTTGTCAAGATGAATGACATACCTGCTTTGAACGAAGGTGGCTCAATTTCCCTTCGTGTATATTATCATAAGTACAATATAAATATGTAGTAATAGCGTATTTTAGAAAAGAATCGCCTATTGTTTCTAATCGTTCTAGATTGATACCATCATTAGCATTAGACATCGTTAATGCCTGTAGTATCAAGCTAGGACTTGGACCTGGATGTCCTTTTAATTCTGGTTGATAATCGAAACTGAATAAACTTTCCTCTTTATGAAATGTCAGGGCGGATGTGCTCGGTCGCTTTTTCACAGGCGCTACTTCATGCTTTTTCTTTAATACTTCATTTTTAAAATTTTCGACTACCTTAGCAATATATTCTGTATACTTAGCGTTCGGTTCTTTCCCATCAGCTTGATTGTTGAGAGAATTTTTTCTTTTAATTGTGATTTCATCGGAACCGGATATAAAAGAACCATTGTCAATGATCTCCCTTTCTTTCTTTTGTGCAAACTCATAGTGTGTCGCTTTATGTTTTTCCAACAAGGAATCGTTCATATTCTCGAGACAGGTCCAAGTATTCTCATCTGAACTTCTCTCGACCTCGAGAAGGTCCAAGATCTTTTTATTGATTTCTCGTTTGCAAATTTGATTCTCATCTTCCACAGCTTCCGCGACATTTTCTCCCATGTACGCTATTCGTAAACCTCTACTTTCATCTTCACTTTCATCAGAAAAATCAATTAATCCCTCGCTACAAGTATCATCTGATTCGTAACCGTCCAGATCAGAATCACATGCTGGAGAACCATATCGAATATCATTCCAACTAAAATCTGGCTGTAATACTGTCAAATTCATGGGGAAGGATTTAATATTTTCAGAATTAAATTCCATTGAATTCATAGCCATTTCATTGGACCAAGTGCCAATTTCTAATTCATTATCTTTTGATTCCTCAATTTCCTCTAGCTCAGGGTCAATGGTTTCTTTAGATATTGCTGATTCGTCTAAACTATCTTTGTCATATGCTAATTTATTTTCAATCTTATCACTAATGGAACTTTTATCAACGTCAATGTTATTTCGAACTGCTTCATTCTTAGATTCATTAGCTTTTTCAGTCTCTTTTGATTTCTTTAATACTTCAGCTAAGCTCCAACCAAAATCTAACGGTGGCCACTCGAAATCTAAGTAATAATGTCATTAAATAAATAGATCGTATAAGAATATAATTATTATTTGAAACTTACTTGAATTCAGATGTACTTGGCCTAAATTTATTGTCCGTGCTACTTGACATCGTATTTGATTTGCAAGAAGCAATGCATTAATTCTGTAAAGGATACAAGGTAGGCATACAGCCTGTCTCCATAAGGAAGCCGGAAATGGATGTATTGCACATAATTCCGCAACTAGAATCTGTTTTTGTTCTAAATTCTCACGTTTGGCTCTTTTCGTTTCTTCGCTACTAGTTGGCAGAGCCACTCCCTTACGATTAACATATCTAAAAAAGACGTAAACTTAGAAACACTACTATTTTTATTTTCTTCCCTTTACGTGATGCTGACCTGGGTGTAAGGAAGTTCAATCTAGCTGACGTATGATCTACATCTAATAAAGGTTGATTGAGATTTTGTATCTGTATATTATATTTCTTTAAATAATATTCTTCAAATGTACTGTAATCCGCACCAGGAAACGAAGACTTTGGGTTCAAGTTGCCACAAATTTCAGCAACATAAAAATACTGCACAAGAATATTAAATTATAAATTAAACATATTAATTTTTACTTAGGTGTTACTAATGGAGTACCTGTGGTTGATCTTGATTCCTATACCATGGCATTATAACAGCATCGTGATACTTGCTGGGATCAAATTTAAAATACTTCCTATCTTTTTCAGGAACTTGATTAGGTACAGTATTTCGATTTTTATAAATACAATCAAGAAAATCCCAGTCTACATTCACATCAGGTCCATTCTCTGTTATGACTAAAATTAATTCAGAGATACAAAAAATGTAAACTCTATGTTAAATAACAAGCACTAACCTGTTTTTACAGGAACTATGATGTAAGAATTTTCTGAGGCGTTTGGATCGAACAACATCAAATACTTCTGTAATCTTAAAACGTTAGTAAATGTATAATTAAGGAAAGCCGCAACTCTTTCTATTTGCACTTCATCTAATATTACTGTCTCTTTACTAAGTTTTAATTTTACGTGTACTTCTCCCGATCTCGTGTAAATTGGAAATGGGCATAGCTGAAAGCAAAAAACTTTGTTTTACACAAGTCAACTAAATTAGTGATATACTCAATAAATACCTTAGGGATTTCCTTTAAAGTTAAAATGCCAAATCCAATAGCGGATTCTTCTGGAGGATAAATGCGCCGACCTCTTGTGTTTTGCTCCTCTGGTAACGGACAACTTAGCATCATATTAATATGATACAAATAGGAAGGTACTCCTATTATGGGTCTGCAATCTGTTAATGCTTCAGCAGTCTAAAAAGTCAATATTCAGATAATTTTATTTTTTTTTAAATATACGTATATGTATGTAAAAATACAGGAAATCAAAATGTACCTTCTTATAATAATATTGTCTACGTTTTGTCGTACCAGGTCGAGCTTCAGAAAAATCCGCTTTACTCTCATCTGGCAAAGCCGGTACTTCTGCATCCTCAGGCTTAGCTTTAAAATTTTCTTTACCAATTGGTAATAGATTATCATCAATCTCATTCTCTCTGTGTAATTTTACGCACAATTGTAATGCTGCCAGGCGTCGGGCCATTGCTCTATTTGGCATTGGGTACGACTACGATATTTAAAAACAATACATCAGATCAGACATAAAATATTCCTCAAAAATAGAAATTATACTCACAGAAACAACGTATTTTACAGGTGAGTTAATAGGGAGTCTCAAAGAACAAATATACATAATTGTATTGTCTATATCGACTGTGTCTATAAACCACTCAGGAGTTAATCTCGTAAAAGTGTCACTGGGTAACTTGGCACAATATCTAAAAAAAATTTTTAATATTTTTTAATATATAGTGGATACTTGCCAACATCTTCCTAGTGGGCTCTTTTGTCGTACCTATTCACTAGTGAAATAGCAGAGTTAAATGAGACACTGGGAGCGTCATCAACATCCAGTGGTTTGTACTGTGGTATCATAGCTGCATATTTATCAGCTTCGAGTTCTTCCTCCTCCGTTGGCTCCTTGTTCGAGCATTTTGTTAATAGGATCTATGAAAGAGATTTGTACTCCGCCTATTCGGTCACTATATGCAATAAGATTTGCCTATCCTGAGAAATAGAAAATTAACGAACCTTTTCGATGTAGTGATATTGAGCAAGTCGCCAGACACATATTTTGGATTCCTTTTCAGGTACTAATAATACATGGAGTGCATCTATCGCTCTGGCTCTACTCTTACATTGCACGTATGACTGATAACTCTTTGGAAAGTCGTATCTCATAACAAAGTTACATTTTGGAATATCAATACCTTTATAAACAAAGAGTAAATAATTATAAAGTATCATGAATCTCCAGCCTAATGTTTTGTAGTTTTTAATGAATACCAACCTTCTTCTAATATAGAAGTCGCAATTAAAAGATTACACTCGTGAATTCTAAACCGTTTTAAAACTTCTTCCTGCTTTCTGTGTTCCATTTCCACGTCACGTGCATAACTCATATCATCTACAGTCTTCTCGATCGTATATAACGGTGACAGGAAGTGTAAATCCTGATCATGTTTGCACACTTCCTATAACATTTTCTTCCTTAATGTCATATCGAAAGGATTACAGGCATTGTTTGTTTTTATACAATTCTAATATGTTGCAACAGAAAACTAACGTACGTTTAATAAATAGAATAAGATTTTTGCAGTGAAAGCCCTGTCGACAAATATCACTCCGCATAAGAGATCAGGGTCTGTAACGCTACGTAAGTGACGGAGAGATTTCGGTGACCTCTTATATCCTTCTTCATGTGGTCTCCAATTACTTCCAAATTTTCGAAAATGCATATGATTTTCTCTTATAGGTATAAGTTCTTTATTACTTTCAGTTTTAACATTAGCATCTGTTAAGTATTCATAGGGTGAAGGATAAAAAAATAATTATATGTGAAACATTATTCTACTTACTTACCGTTATTTGCTTTATTGTCAATGTTATGTGAATCCTTGGAATGAAATGGAGTATAAGTTTTTAGAATTTTCAGCAGGCGGTGGACTTTTGGCATTGAAAATTGATAGATTCTTTCCCTTTCACTCAATCCTTCGAATTCACTTTCACAAAGAGCCCTAACAATAAAAAAAAATGTAAAAGCATTCAATTTGTTTTGATAATTTCCCAACCACCAAATGTATTATTTACCGAATCTTTATAAATACCGATGCCACCACATTAAACAACAGATAATGACGTTCATAAGGAGTTTTGACTTTCAGTTTTTCTGTCAGTATTAAGAGTGCTAGGGCTGCGCGATCGGCGCACCAAGGCCCCAATGTTCTTAAAACGTATAAGAAATCCTCTATCATTTCACAAGGCTTGTCTGTTGGATCAGGAATCTTTTGTATATCCTCAAGAAATTCCTCATTATATATTTCTGTTGGATCATAACGATGATCACGTAAAAATTCCATAGCATGCACGGCACAATTTTCTAAAGCCTCATGAAGGTTTCCTTTTTCGCCGTCTTTATATTCTACTATATACTCCTTTGGCTTTGGACTGTAACTGTTATCAATAGCTTAATATTAGATCTCATTTAACATAAGTTATAAAAACTTACCGTAATATAGAAAGAATGTCACTAGCAGTCTCAACCTCACAGTAGAAGGTATTTTCTACCTTTTCTATCTCCAATCCTAATACTCCAGGTTCTTCAGTTAAATTAAATAGAGGCACAGCAAGACCAATAATTCTAGGCCCATTCTTACATGATAAAAAGGTTTGCAAGACAATATTCAGATCACCATCTTTTAAAGATGCATGACACTGATCAACTACTACTAAGTTTATCTGACTGGGAAGAATATTTTGTACTTGCAACAGATGTGCACACACATCTGATGTTGTGACCAATACCTACATTTAATTAAATATACATAACATTTTTAATGTTAATAATAAATACCTCTCAGATAATTTCACTTACATTAGTATTGGTAAAATCATCCATAAATTCTTTTCCAGGGTTTTCATTGCAGACTAGTACTTTTAAATCAGTCAATTGCTGAACATAAGTGGCCTTTATTATGCATTTATCAAACTCCTTCAAAATATAAATTGCTCTTTTACCACCTTCGGCTATAGATCTGCAGAATATTTTTTATTAATAGCATGTTCAAATTTACCATTTTAATATACATTACCTTCTGTTATTGGTTGCTAATTCTTGAATTAACTTAATGACTATGAAAGTCTGCTCAGAATATTTCCCTAAGCATACTATTATATTTCTCTCCTTTGCTGCGTACAAAAGTTCCACCTATGGATAAGCAAATTATACTATTTAATATGAAAATGTAAATTACCATCTAAGATTTAACGAAATCTGAATCATTTGACCAGTATCATTTTCATCACACTCACTTGGTACTCTCTAGGAGTGAAAGACTTCGTGTAAACCTGATCGTTCAACGGAAATGCCATGGAAACTATGGCTTGAATAATCAATCTCCGTTTTTTACAATATTTCTATTATATTTTGATAGCAACTTTATACACGATTCCTAACATTTGGAGAACTATTCTGTCAAACGTTTTAATCGTGTTAGGTTATTTCAAACATCTGACCATGGAGACTAGAGTAGAGGAGTCCCATCCAGTCCTATCTCTAATAGGGGAATCAACGAAAAAATGACACCAGAAATGCGTCGAAATAAGAAATTCACTATTTCGCCGATGACGTCGCTGTTGTCAATAACTAACCTATGTATAGATTAGAAGCCATGTAGATTATATATATATGTATATCTTTTCGCCCGGTACTCTCCCCACCATCGGCGGTTTCACTAGCGGAGTCAGCGCCGCAAGTGTCGTTTCGGACAACCTCAATTTTAACAGCTTTTCGGTATCATACCTTATGTACAGAGATAGGACTCCTCTACTCTAGTCTACATGCATCTGACCAACATCACCAACATTCACCATAGATCTAGCCATGATCTAGGGTATGAAAAACAGAGATGAGTAGGGATATGCACAACGCTACGGCAGAGATGAGTAGGGAGATGCACAACGCTACGGTTTTAGACGATATCAAAAACATGGCCCTAAATCGAAGCGGCGAGTCCGGCAGTAGGATTTTGTGATCATCACCACTATCGATGTTACAGATTCCACTGTAACCGTGCGGGTCATAAGTATTGATGATCATAGAGATCCAAATGATAAACAAATTGTTAAAAAGTGAACAAAGAAAACAATTTTATCGATCACATAAAAGTTTATAATAAATAAATCAAAACTGGATTCAATTGTCACTAAAAGAGGTAAGCTAGACTTAGATTACAGAGTGATAATAAGATTCAGGATATCATAATGGCGTGCAGAGAAGTATGGTATTCTGAAAAGTATTAAGTATTTGAATAAGTGTTCATGTAGTTGACATTGACATGAGTTTAAAGAAGAGATTTTCAGTATATGAATCGCTAGCTAATAAAGATAAATAAGTTTATCGTTATCTGACAATAAAAGGTCCTTGAAGGTTAGTGTTGACTTAAATCTGCACAAGCGTGTAATTGGTAACTACTGGTTGTGGCTCTGTTTACCTGCATGCAATAGACTGACACAACTGTGCTCACAGTACTGGTAGTAAATTTGAAATGTGACAATAGTAAATTATTTTTTTGGGGTCGATTGTGTAATTCAAACGTACTAAAAATACGAAAAGGGAATAGCTGTTAGCCAATCGTTCTGCTCGTCTTCTTTAGAACTTAACACGTGATTGGCTAACAGCTATTCACTTTCCGTATTTCCACTACATTAGAGTACATATGTTCCACCGTGTAGGATTGAAATATAGTTAACCAATCAAGTTAGCTTATTCCGCTGAAATCTAGTTTTTAATTGGTTAACTCTATTTGAACCCTACACGGTAGAAACATAGGCTTAGTTTCCACCGTGCAGGGTCGAAATAGAGTTAACCAATCAAGTAGCTTATTCCGCTCAAATCTCGTTTTTAATTAGGTAATTCTATTTCAACCCTGCACGGTGGAAACAGCCATATGTAGTTACACAATCGACCCCCTGAAAACGAAATTTGATTCATTCATGCATTTCATTTAATCCGGCAAAATGAGAATCTGTTATTTAATCATTTTTATTATATAGTCATCTCAAGTTAAATAAAAATCATTTCTTTACTTGATAAAGAAGTGTAACTCATGTAACAAAGCATACCTTCAAGTAAAAAACCTATAAGAAATATTTTTTTTTATTATATTATAATATACATTTATGACAGTACTTGAAATAACTTTGAAATCGTAAAAATCAGTTATACTTAATTACACTCTACTTATAGGAGGATTGTTAACATGTTCTTGTATATAGGCTCGCGTAACAATACACTTTGGCATATTACAAGAACATGGAATGTCATGTTCTGCATCTGCAGGATCCAACATGATAAATTCAATATTGTAACGCCTTGAATTCACTAAATCATGATGCAAAAACATTTTGAATGCAATAGCTTCTCCTTTTTTAACATCAATAGTAGATGGTAAAACTATTACCGTTTGTTTCCAATGAGTTTCTTCATCCATAGGGCTTGTGGGTAATTCACTACCATTTGGAAATTCAACTACAAACCATATGCAAGCTCCTTGATAGTTACCATCCTTAGTACAAGGGAAAACCCATTCATTGCCACCTAAATGACTTAGGTCTTCATCGGAGACCTCCTTCAAATCCAACCAAGCTATCAGTTTACCTTCTGATAGTAAATCTTGTGGCTTTACTGTTAAAACTTCTGGTTTTAAAGGCTTTGTTTCCCTGTATTTTTTTCCTACACACCTGTAATGACAGAAGTATATGATACAAAAAGCAATTGTTCCATAATGATGAAAATATATTAGTACTATTGTCGATTATTATTACTTCATGCTCACTCCATATACATTGTTCCAGAAATCGAAGAAAGATGGTAATTGACAAGGAGCTGCATAAAGCTTTGCTATTGATGGAAACATGAAACCTTCTGGTTTTAAATAACGATCTCTTGCTACAATAACTGAGTTAAGCATTCCTTCATGCACCAAGTAAAATCCCATCCATTCTGATACTAAAATATCTACTTTCTCTATAACATTTGCATCAAGATCTTCGACTTTATTGTGAATAACTTGCACGACATTTTCAAAATTATTTTCGATCACTACTTCCTTTGCTAGTATAGCTAATTTGCTTGCTTCTACTGCATAAACTTTTTTTGCTCCTGCCTGAGCACAAAATATTGATAATATACCTGCAATGTATACAATATATTGATCAATAAATGATACTAGTAATAAAAAATATTGCATATCATATATATTGTAATATTCTTGATTATTCAAAGTGTCTAATACCAGTCCCAGCCCCGACATCCATTACAACTTTATTCTTGAATTTTTCGCGCCATTCAAATATGGCCTTGCGGTAAGCAAAAGTCCGTGGATTATCATCCAGCATGAGATGATGTACCTGAACACGGGTAAAAAATGTTAATTATTTAAGATATGCTATTAAAATCGGTATAACCTACGTTAAGTTCTTCATAACTTCGAAAGTATTCATCCACACTGTCTCCTTCTTGCATTTCTCGTTAGTAATATTAACAGAACCAAAGCACGAGGATGGCCGGTCACAAATAATATGGAAAGGTTCGTATTTGGCGTAGATGTCGACAATATCAAGTACGATAAAATAATCCACCGGCAAATATTCAAGATTGCTTTATATAATACAAATTGAAAGACTGACCATGTATTCTACCATCAATCCCTATTAAACATGTATAATGAAAATATAGCGTATAACAATTTAAAATTCAAATATATTGTTTCAATATATTTTGTACTTAGTTATAAGACATTGTATTATAATTTAAATAAACTAAAATTTACTAACAGTTCCTTTTTTCTTAGTTAATAATATTACAGTTAACGTATAAGAGAAAAAATGTATAATAATGCTATATACCACGAAGAAAAAATTATTACACTTTATTATAACATTATTATTATTATTACATAGTTGTAGTCTAGGGAATTTCATTTCCTGCATTTTATGTAGGTTTCTCACATACATATTCATATCTCAGTGGAGATAAACGTATAAGAAAATTATATGTAGATATATATATATATATATATATATATTTTTACAACTGTTGGACTGTGCGTCGTAATTATTACAATTATTACCGTTTCATACTTTGTGCAGAATTGTTTATCTTTGCTTTACAATTTCTATAATTTGGTATAAATAAGGATAAAAACGATACAATCGATGGACATTCATTGCTCACCGTGTGTACATACTAGATAATGTGTATATACGCGTAACTAAGTTTAAAAGACAATTTCTTGGTAATTACAGAAAAGTAAACACAAACCTGGAAAAATGGAATATGACGAAACATTGGGGAATCCTGCAAAACGAAGGTACAGAATAAAGTTTTTATATTATATATCATATCAGTGCATGGTTTCAAGAATATTCTCGTTATGTTCACTATTTTCCCTGTCATTATTTATAGTTTATTGTAATTAGAAGTATTTTTATAATAAATCACACTACAAATATTTTAATGATTGTATAACATGAATTTGCTGTCTCCAGTTGAATTTACTCAGTATATTTATATATTTAATAAATTAGGTTATAAGAAGTTTCATCGTTCTTTTGTATTTGGAGTATTGCACTTAATAATGTAGTATGTTTTGTGCATGTACAATACTGTACAGTTGTAATTGATCAGTCATACAACTAAGGTCATTCACCTTTCTAAGCATGAAAGCATAGAATAATAGAATCAATAAAACTGTATAGGATGTTAGAATCCTAAATAGTACAAGTGTTTTTCTTCTATTGTTCATAGGAAACTATCAGGGGGATATAGAAGTTACTCAAGGCTATCTGTGAATAAACAAACTAAGTCTGAGTTGCCCATGCAAAAAATATCATTGCTCCAATGCAGCAATAAAAAGGATATTAAAAATAATAAACGTGTGGAATTTGATACATTTATACCTCTGCGGCAAGGTAGTTCAACAAATATGTTTGAAGATAACATATTGTTACCTAGAAAACCAATACAATCACATTTGCCAATTATTAAAGAAAAGAAAGGAATACAACATTCTTCAAGTAAAACCAAAATAGATACAGAGAATTTTCTGCCTATCATCAATGATAGCCAAGAAAAAGGTATTATGAACAATATTAAAATTCTAGAATTGACTGATAAATTAGTTTCACTTTAAACAGGAAACAGAAATTTTACTAAGAAAAAAACCAGAAGTACTAAAAATGTGTTGTATACAATAGGTACCTCTCTACCACATAATAAAGATAAAAATGCTTTTGAAAATAAAAATGCTACTGATACACTTACTAGTTCCGAAGAAGAAGCCTCATTTTGGACAAGTATGGGAAAATCAGTTTCCAATAAAGCAAAGTTGTATTCAGATAAAAATGATGCTTCAACTGAAGAAAGGATATTATCCAGAAATGTTGAAGTGTTGTCTGATACAGTAAAAAAGACCAACATATTTATAACATCAAATAAGACTGATGACATAATAATTCCAAAAATAAGTTTAAAAGAAAATAAGCTAAACAGAAAAATAAAACCATTTCACAAATCGAAAATTCCCAAATTGTTAAGTAAGAATTTCATGAACCAAAAGAAATGTTCTTTAGCGAAGAATCTCATGATACGAGATCATAATCATAATATTCCAATAAATTCTGTTGCAGAAAAGAGAGCAGTAGAAAATTTATCTAAAACTGATATTCCTGTATCAAATTTTGGTATCGCTGCTGCCAAAGCTCAGAAAAATGCACAAGTTGAAGTACAATCTAAAAGCAATGTTTCAAAGGTATCACAGAAAACAAAGATAAATGTTCCCAATAAACCAAGTACAAATAAAGTGAGATTTATGGATCCTTTAGTAACATCCAATGGATCAAAAGCACATATGACAAGAGAAATAAAACTTCTGTTAGATCAGAATAAATCGTTTGGATCTGATTTCATAAGTGATCTTGTAGTAGAGCCTGAAATAAATCGACGAACCAGTCTTAGGATGAGAGAAAGTAACGAATCGCCTCAAATTTATAATCTTAAATCTACAAAGGAGGAGAAGAACGTTAAACCAAAAAAACATAAACATAAACAAAATAAATTCTTAAATACTGCAACAGCGCAGAATTCTAAGACAATATCACTGAAAAGAAAAATGCGAAACAATATACAGACAACACCAACATCAAAATCTACTAAATTAAGGAATAATCAGAATAATAACTCTACAGAACACGTAATGCAACCAATCACTAATGTTACTATTAATAAACCAAATATGTCTATGGAGAGAAAAAGTAAATATACAAAATCAACAGCTAATATAGCTGTAATAAAAAGTCAAGAGGGAAACGATTTTTCAGCCGAAGATGAAAATATCGTTGAAAGTCAATTAGTACCCAATGAAAAAACTATTGAAAAAGACCGTTATACTAAACAGTCGAAAAGTCAAACAGATCAACTATTATCAGAAAAGTCGGAGACAAATGCGAATGGCAATAATGTACAGAACATAGAAGAATCAAATTCCTTAACACAAATAAAACACATTGGAACTGCTGTTTCACTTGAAAGCAATTATACAAAAGAAGCAGGAAGAAACGTGTTAAAAGAATCGAATATCGAAAAAGCTATTATAAAGATGAAGCCAAGGGGGCAATCCTGGTCACCTGGATTAAAACACGTGATATTGGATTCCGGTGATAATACTCCAGCAATTGGAGTACGAATGATGGTCGACATCCCATATAATGGAAAATCTGTTCAATTAGGTATATATACAGGGTGTTCGTTATGAAACGCACTGTAGTAACACTATTACATTCTTTTTCAAATTCTAATGAATACGTGTATTTTCATTTTTTATTTCATATATCAAAATTTCGAGATAATCAAGGTTGAAGTTGCAGTAATGCGACCAATCAGAACGCGTTTAAACGGAGCGTAGATGACGTCGCGAGCCAGCCCGCAAGACCTGCTTGCACTAGGCCAGTAACACTAAGAGTATCGTCGTTGTGTCCCTGTTTATCTGCATGTATTTGAGTAAGATACAAGAGACGATACTCTTAGTGTTATTGGCCTACTGTAAGCAGGCCTTGCGGGCTGTCTCTGGACGTCATCTACGCTCCGTTTAAACACGTTCTGGTTGGTCGCATTACTGCAACTTCAACCTTGATTATCTCGAAATTTTGATATATGAAATAAAAAATGAAAATACACGTATTCATTAGAATTTGAAAAAGAATGTAATAGTGTTACTACAGTGCGTTTCATAACGAACACCCTGTATATATACCTAATTGAACAGATTTTCCATTATATGGGATGTCGACCATCATTCGTACTCCAATTGCTGGAGTATTATCACCGGAATCCAATATCACGTGTTTTAATCCAGGTGACCAGGATTGCCCCCTTGGCTTCATCTTTATAATAGCTTTTTCGATATTCGATTCTTTTAACACGTTTCTTCCTGCTTCTTTTGTATAATTGCTTGTGTTACTACGGTGCGTTTCATAACGAACACCCTGTATATATATATATATTTGTATTTAAAATTACAATAATATATTTATATTTCAATATTACTGCTATTTATCATTATACTATTCTTATTTATTATAATATATTTAATGAATTGTAGAATGCTTGGCTGATTATGCATTAATATGCTCTAATTATAAACCAATTCCTGGAACAGAGGGTAATGTGGTTTATGGAAATGGATTACATACGGCTATGAACGATATATGTAGTGGTAACATAGAAATGAATCCAAACTCCTCCAAAGGAACACAAACTCCGAAACGTCACCATTTGGTAATCATACAAACATTTTATCCTATAAATAATAAAAATGGATTATTTATAAAACTGTTATTTTCAGATATTTTGTGTGATTAAAGGCACAGTAATTTTCACTATCCGTCATGCAAAAAAAAAAATTAGCACAGGAGCTCATTTTTTTGTACCCTGTGGTATATCCTATAACATTGAAAATATTGGAACTGAAAAGGCTGTCCTAAGTTTCTTTAAAATAACGAGAGGTTGTATTGCTTTAGATAGGTCTGCTTGATAATATGAAAAGGTTTTATATAGGGTGAGTCACCTAACGTTTGCACCTCAAATATCTTTATTGTTTCTATAGATACGTAAAATATGGTAAGGACAAAGTTGAATGATACAATAGGGCTGACATGATACCAAACAAAAATTTTGTTTTTATGTAATTTTTTAGAGATATCAAGGTCGCCTTGACTTTTTTTTAAATGGAACCACCCTTTTTTAAATACCTACAGTAATAGTACCTTTCATTAGGGATTCAGCGATTATAATCATTCCACATTCATTCAAGGTCAAGGGCAGAAAAAACGTATAAATTTTTGCAAGAAGATCTGCCAATTCTGTTACATGTCCCTTTATAAAATCATTATGATATGTGATACCATCATGACGGTTGTCCCGCTCATTATGCACGAGTAGCAAGAGAAACTTTGGATTCTCGATTTCCAAACCGATGGATTGGACGAGGCGGAACTGTTTCATGGCCAGCATGTTCGCCTGATTTAAATCCACTGGATTTCTTTTTATGGGGTCTACTAAAAGAGACCGTGTACATGGATGCTCCACCAACAGTTGAAGATATGCGTCAGCGTATCATCACAGCATGTACGAATATCACCTCGGATGTACTTATTAGAGTTCAACATTCCTTCAGAGCTCGTTTACAACAATGTATCGACGTAGACGGCCATCATTTCGAACATTATAAAATACAGGTATTCTACTTCCATATTTCAGTTTTATACGTTTTTTCTGCCCTTCACCTTGAATGACCTTGGAATAATTATGATTGCTGAATTCCTAATGAAAGGGACTATCACTGTAGGTATTTAAAAAAGAGTGGTTCCATTTAAAAAAGTCAAGGTGACCTTGATATCTCGAAAAAATTACATTAAAAAAAAATTTTTTTTTGGTATCATGTCAGCCCCTTTGTACCATTCAATTTTGTCCTTACCATATTTTACGTATCTATAGAAACAATAAAGATATTTGATGTGCAAACATTAGGTGACTCACCCGTTATATGGAATATCTGTATTATACAAAATATATGAGAGAATACTATGGTAAGAATCACTATAAACATTAATGTTGTTAATGCATATACAAGACTATAAATAACAAAATGTGTAATAAGTAATAACATAAAGCGTTGAAGAAGTCAAAAAGTATTAATATTTATTTTGAGATTACAATTTAAAATATTCAAGAGCAGCATTACACACGAATGCTGAATGTTTGTCTTCCATTTTTTCATCAGCGTTAAGATTATTGCAATGCATATCGGAAGATATGTAACAATATGGTTTGGAAGTGGATATATTGTGATGTACATTATAGGAACATATTGCTGTAAAAATCAAACCAGTTATACGTATATTATTATTTACAGTTATTTTCAATAACAAATTTGTTCATTCAGTTGGCCACATGAAAGTATTTTATCAAAACTAACTTTTATTTGGTTTAGATAAATATATAAATATACAAATCTTTTTCTGCATTCAATTCGGTTCCAATAAATATTATTCAATAAACATACTAAAATTTGGCTGATCGTTTCTCACCAACTTTTGTTTCTTTTTCCTTCATCATTCTTTTGAACTCTTCCTGCTTTTCTCTTTGTTTTCTTTTTCTTTCTAAACGCATAATCTCTTCAGCAGTCATAGCTGAAATTACAAAAGAATGTTGGCATAATCCACATAATTAGAACAGCAGTATCTAATTATTATATATTTTAGTCTAAAAACATTACCTGTATCCATATTCTGTACTGGCTTCACATTTGCAAATTTTTCGGATGGAGACTTAGATCTTGGATTGACATCTGAAACAATAAAAATTGCGTAATAATTGTCAAAAAAAGAACAATGATTTATTTTAAATGGTGTATACCATTTTTCAATGTTGGTAGATTAGGACTAATTGAACGAAAAGTGGGCTGAGGACGCGGCGGTACTATATTAACTGATGGTGCCGGACTTTGGGCTCGTAAAGGCGTGGAATGAACTGGTGGTCCCAGAGTTGCTTTTGTGAATTGTTGTGGGACTCCAATCGCAGATAAATTTGGAGTTTCAAGTTTGTCACTCGCAATATCCTTTATTCTTCTTTCAAATTCTCCACCAAAACATAATAGAACTTTCTTAAGTGCATTAGTAATTGATGCCTGCAGAATTGATACTTGTTTCAGTAGCTCATAATAAATAAAACAATTATGAAGAAGTATCATTTAAAATACATACAGATCTGGCACAGAAAATGGCCATGCCTTTTGTTAGTCCAGTTGCATTGCTATAGCCCATATCCTCATGAAATATTCCATTGCTAAGCTGAACTTTAACATAGGCTGCACAACCTGCATGATATTTACCACTAACATATTCAACAAAATCTGAAAGTTTAAATTTTAATTATATGACACATCATAATTGTAAATAATTGCATTATTGTGGAATGAGCTGAAATATATACCAACTGTTTGATTTGTAACAGAATGACTCCATTCCTTAGTACCAAATATTGTATTGGCTAATGCTATTAATTCATTATTTACATTGAGTGCATCCCCAATATCACATATATCGTTAGAACCAATTGAAGAACTGTTATCTTTCTGCTGTGGCTGCTGGAGTAAAATGATTTCTATTATTAAATTTTACATAGTATTGTGTAATATATAGTGCTGTTTATATAATAACAATTGAATTATTATAATTACAGAAGTACAAAAGAATGAAAACATTAATTAACTTATATGACAATAGCACAATAAAAGTTATAAACTTATTAATGACATGTCTGAGAGTTTAAAGTCTCTTACAAATATTATTCACATAATAAAAATAACAACAAAACCATAATCTTGTGGTAAATATTTTTAAAAACAATGGTCATAATTTACTTATAATTATTAACGAAAAATTGAATAACAATATATAATTATCATATTTTCTTCATGTTTTGATACTATTAAACGAGAATAAATGAAATCAAAGATTCAAGTACCTACATAAAAAATTGAAAATGATATAAACTATAAATAATTTTTTTACATACAATTTTGATACACGACGGAAAATCCTTTGCCATACTTTAGCAATATAAGCTTTCCTTTAATACAAACTTTTTCTTTTCATTCAAAAACAAGAAACGTACTTATTTACACTCTTAAAACGCGGGATAAACTGAACGACCATGGATCATGATGGACGCACAACATACCTGCATCGTGTAACTTGTACTATACACTTTTTCGTTGCAAGACTTGTATGTAAGACCTTCCTTCCTTCCTTTCCTTATGGCTGACTCCTCCAATGAGGAGATGTGCAGGGTATGTACAGAGATGAGTGGGGAGATGCACAACGCTCCGGTTTTAGGTTATACCAAAAGCATGGTGCTAAATCGTAGCGGCGAGTACGGGAGTAGGATTTCGTGATCATCGCCTCTGTCGATGTTACAGATTTCGCGTAGCCGCGCGGGTCATGATCATCGTTCCAGCCGATATTGCAGTCAGCGACAATGAATGGATTGCTCGGTGGTGGGGAAAAAGATGTCGCCCTTCACAATCCGTTCTTGACAAACAGGTGGGGCAGCAAGGTCTTCCATCCAACCGAACCCTAAACGTTTGTATGGACGTAATGCGCAAACAAATGTGTATATTCAAATAAATTTCAAAGTTATAAAAAATGCATAGAAATATTGGTTTTCACTCTTTACCTCTTATCATGCCGAAAATGAACATTAAAAAATGAATGGCGAAAATCGTTGGTAAATGAAACGACCGAGAACAGTTCAAAGAGAAATTTTGAAATATCATAGATAAATATCTATAATAAATTTAATTTAATATTAAACGAACATCCTGACTGAGTCAATAACCTGTCAAGATATAACGTCTCTGGTTATGGGTTCGATCCCCCATCAAGAACTCTTTTTTCATCTTCTTTTATTTTCATTTTACTACAAAAATTGTTCAAGGTTCCTCTCTTTTAACCTTTCTAGGTTGCCCAAACTTTATTTTAAGTTTATATATTTTTTTTAAATTTTATCTATGACAGAATTGACTAATATTTTAAACGCCCGCTCGTGCCGCGCGACCGGCGACTTGAGCGATTGCGGGTCCTGTCTCGCTGAGGGGTCTCCTATTGCTGTTACTGCTGCCGCTGGTTCTTATAATCTTATAAATACTTTTTATTTGCAATCTTCAGTTCCAGCGCCCAGTGTAAACTCAATAAGATTTACTATGAGAAAATAATTAGCTGACTTCGTTACCTGGAATCAATAATCTTGAGAAGCAAATATAGAAATGAGCATTATCACTGTCAGTAATTGTTCGTCCACGTGGAGAAAGGTGGCGCGAAAGTTCTT